GTTCCACGATAAAATAAACGTCCACGACACATTCACGATAGATTGTCGTGACATGGGAACAGGCTAGACGCGACAGTCGGCCGACGATAAACAAAATGTTACAACTCTTTTTCGCACTGAGAGGTTAACAGTGCGGAACTGTGACGGCATGTATTTATACTTTATTAAATATTAAGTAACTTTTTATATAAAGTGACGGGATGAACAAGTCGTGCGCCTGATGGTAAGATTCTGTCCCTATGGGTGAGGCCATTGAGTTGCGTACTCTGTGCTGCACTGTTTCATATAAAATTCCGGTTTGTGACACACGACGACGCAAAATGAATTGTCTGCCGACTCACACTGCTGGGTGGCAGTCCTTCCCTGGACGAACTCTTTCACAAGGAGCTCTACTGCTACAGTGAAATGTCATATGAAAATCATTATTTCTAGTATTTTTTCGTGCTTGGAGATTCTGGTACGCCTATAAGTTTACTACGATAGAAGGGTGCAATCTTTACAAACCAAGTACCGTACACAGTTAGGCATGTCTTCTTTCAGATACTATTAGGCCATCACATTCGCCCAATCTTCGAAAGTAAGACTGCGGATCCAAAGACTTCGTATTTAAAAAAAATAGTAACCTGTAAGTATAACTTCGGAACTAAATAAGCGAACACTAAAATGAATAATAGGCAGATACGAAATGGAGTGACATCAACAACGTCTGTGGCCAAACGATTTGCTCTGTGGGCGCTGATCCCATTCTCAGTCCGATATACCTACGTCTGAAACAACTACAGTCAAATATGTAGGTAGGTGATACTCAACCAAGTAAAAAACAATATCAAGTATGAGAGCGCATTTATCGCATCTGCTGCGGCCGCGCTGTTGACGAGCAGATGCCGCGCAGCGACCGCGTGCGTATAACTGTCTTGACAAAATACGCTCTATTTGTTTAGATTTTACGTTTCAACTTAAATGAGCGTCCCGTAGTGTTGTATTATTCAGAGAAATTTAAATCTTGTTGCCTAGTAAAAAGGATTCAGATTCGCCATTAATGTACATGAAGGCGTAGCACTCTTTGGCCTCGTGTAACTGGGCATTAAACCTTCACAAATAGGTAAAGTGGCAATACTTCCCTGGGTGAACTCTTTCACTAGGACCTATAATGCTAATAGATCCGTGTCGGAAAGTGACTTCCCAATAGCTTATTCTACTTTTTTAAAGTTATCGTGTCCCATTGCTGGACACAGGCCTCACACAAAATCCTCCACTACTCTCTATCTTTGGCGATTTCTCCTACTGCTTCTCGACTGTCACCATCGTCGCCATCCGTCCTCGGACACACAAGGAGCGACCACGTTCGCCTACTTCTCAAAGTAAATTAATCTTTATTTCATACGTAAGCAAACAAATAAGTAAGCTTATAAGAATGAGCAAGAAACTCTAGGGGTTGCTCTTTGTAAATATAGATTTGAATACATTTATCATTATAATATTTCATTTAAACATCTTAGATCGAGACTACCTGCAAGAGCCAAACGGGTCACTATCACGGATTATTATCATCCAAGTACACAGAAGCTGTAAAATACCCTTTAGTATAAAGTTTTTGTTTCATTATAGTTTTAAACCTCGTAAATGACAAATTTTGAATATCAATCGGAATCTTGTTATAGAAGCGTACAAATTTGAAACTTTATGAAAACTACTGTCAAGAACGGCGGGTTTATTTTTATTCCTCGTGTTAATGTTATGTCTGTCACTATTTTTCAAGAAAATGAAATATTTTTCTTAACATAAATAACATTTTCATAAATGTACTGTGACGTTACTATAAGAATGTCAATATCTTCAAACTTATCTCTCAAAGACACTCTCGGGATACATGCCCAATCCCATTTGAGCCTGGCTGTTTTGGTTCCCAGATCAACAATTATTGTTCTACTAAAATATATCTTAGACTTTTTAAAGGAGTAGGTTCTGGGTTCTAATAATGGCATTCACTATTACTTACTAATATTACTAACTTACTAGGCTCTTTGTGAAAGAGTTTGTCCAGGGATGTACTGCCACCTTACCTACTCGTATTTCTTATTTTTTAATAACAGGAAATTACAGGAATATGAGACTTGTCAACTTATGTCTCAGGGTGACGGACGCAGTGGTAGTGCCCCTCAGATCTTTGCGACTTAAAGCTCTGAGTGGCACTGCAACTGTAATGGACAGTGTAGCTTACCATCAGGCGCACGACTTGTTCGTCCCGTCGCTTTATATTATTTAAAATATTATTTAAAAAACAATCAATTTTAGCACATTCTGAATACAGTTGTGTAATAAAAATGAACTATTTTGATTTGGGTCACTATTCTTGGACGCAGCCAGGTCCGGCGCTAGCCCGTGTAATGCCCGGGTGTAATCAATACCCTGGCGCCCTCTAGTAGGCACGCGGTGGAATACTTACAGTTATATTTTTCGCAGTGATCGGAAATTCGGGTGCAAATGGTGCAATTATAAATGATGTTGGGAAGCTCATTTATTTTCCCGATAGTCTTTCTAGAGGTAAAAAACTTCAAATTCCATCATAGCAGTCCTATAATGACCGCAGTTCCCTTATTAATCCCACAAGCTTACCGTTTAATTAAGCAATGTACGGACAACGGCACATCAGACTACACATGTTTGTTCGAAAATCGCCTCCAGTGCAACGGAACAAGATACGTCAATGTGTAGCTTGATGTGTTGGCGTGTGTACAAAGACAATACATACAACAACAAATCGTTCAAATTTGTTGTTGTATGTATTGTCGATGATCCAAAACTCAAAGCTGGTTTGGAGCCCCTTAGTCTGCGAAGAGACGTTCTCTGTTTGTGTTGTACCATCGGTATAAAGGGGAATGCCCAGAAGAACTTTTCGAATTGATGCCATCGTTACGTTACCACTATCACACTTGCCGATAAAATACTAGATTCCAAATCAACATTCTTAATGCCCGACATCCTAACATCACGTGGGCATCATGTTCGTTCCTCCCCTCGGCCTCTAAAATGTTTGCTTTTGTTTAAAAAGCGAGTAAACCAGGCTCTTTAAATGCTGGCAACAAATACTTAAATATGACAGCTCCTCTGGTGTTCCAAATGACTGTGGGCGGCGATTGCGACGTCCCTTCGTATGACTCACCTCATCACTAAAAATACATACCTAATATATGTGACAAAAATTACCTTACTCCAATTAGCAGGCGTATTTTCAATTCAGTCAAGAGTGTACCCACTTGATATTAAATAAGGTTGATTCTTAACCCCCGACGCAAAAACCTCTTTTTACGTTAGAGGTCAAAAATCAACGGGTTGTTTGAAGTTTGAAGACTTTGTCTATTGTCTTTGTATCTGTGAATCTGTGGGTCTGAATGCCTGTCTGTGGCCTCATAACTCTCAAACAGATGGATGGCATCGTAACTCTCAAACGGATGGACTGATTTCAAAGCGGATTACTTTATTTGAAGGTTGGTAATCGGAATGGTTTTTAGCTTTGATTAATCATGGACCAATAACATAAAGAGGATTGCTAATGGCGATACTAGATAGCGTAAACGGGTATTTATACACCAGATGTCACGACGTGTACCAAATAGCTACTTTTGTAACTAATTTGTTTAACATTGACAAGTTGCAATTTATCAAAACTACTCTAATTGCTAGTAACAATAAACAAATCAACTAGATGGCGCTTTCTTTTATTTTCTTTAGGATTAGCGCCATCTACCCATACTAGGAATTATTTATAAGTTTGTAACACACAATCCCATCTATTGACACGCATATTTGTCAAAATAAAAACAAAAATCATTTATTGCAGACAATAAACAGTCCATTTTGTTAGTATACTTACAAGCTAACTACTAACTAAGTTAGTACAAAAGTTACAAAATAAAAATAAAATGAATGAATGAATGAAAGAAATTAATTAATTGCGTGAATTAAACGATTACATAATACATGATAAGTTCACCGAGTTCTCAGGACGTGAAGTTCGGTGAACCTGGCAAGCAGATCGGAGTCCCACCTATCCCCTATCATTTTAAGAACTCTGTTTGAGTTCTCTTGCACTCTGTGCAGGCGAGATGCCACCTTTTTTAGTATTAGTGCATAAAAAACCCTCCACACTAGCGTCGGCAAACATGTCTGACGCACTGCAGTATCGAGGAAGCCCAAACAGAGCCCTGAACACATTTTTATACATAATGCGTAGGGAGTTACAGGCTTTCTGATTTAAATCGACCCATCGCATCGACCCGTCAAAGGTTAGAAAATAATTTATATAATAGTTTCATTTCTAATATTTATTTAACTTCCACTTGTCCGATCGAAATTCAGTACACTATATAAATCCGTTGGCATTACGACAATAGCCTTGAGTTTGCGATTGCTTTAGCTCTTTCTGTCCATCCTAAATTATCACAAACTAAATTCAAGGATAATTGTAAATTCAAAAGAAAAATACTCCAATTTCTCGACGTAAAGGTTGTCACTACTTCAAAAGTGTAAACCCTTGATAGAAGTACAAATCATTTTGACTTACTGCATCAAGATCAAATTCCATCAGTCGATTTTCTCGGTGCCTAGATTACTATGTAGTTGCTTTGGCTGCACCCTACCTTGTACAGTCAAGAGCACATCAAGCTTGACACTTTGGGTTTTGAATCGTTCTTATAATAAGCGGCATAAAGTTGAATTAAAATCTTAAATGTCAAGCGTGATTTGCTCTTAACCCTGTACTTGATGTTCCATTTTTTATTTTTTTGCATGCGTGCACGATGACACTTGACTGTCATTTTAAATGATTGCCTTTCATTCATGTACGGATATTTATATACATATTAAAAGTAATTCGGTCAGATTTCCATGAAATGGTGTTTCCTTAGAATGCCGGGTGAAGTTACCTAGGCTACAAAAATGATAGAATACAAATGACAAAACAAATTTATGTATCTAATACATTTTCTTATGTTTTACAGCAAAACCCAGCCAACCTACCACGACGCCAACGGAACAAGACAAACAGCTCGCAACACAAGAACTCTCGCAAAAGCCTACAGAACCATACAAAGCTACAGACGATCCAAAACCATTCATTGATAAACCCACTTTTCTACCTTCAAAGCCTGTCCCTCATTCCCCAAAAATTTCCCCATCATCTATCCCGAATCCTAGTCCTAGTGTATCTACCCATAAACCCATGGATCCAGGGTATCCTAACTATGGAGGGTATTTATATTCAATACCAGGCTATTCCGCATTCCAACCTATATCCTATCCAGGAATACTTCAACCGACACCAACCCCAATGCAGACTGATGCACCAACTGACTTCATACCATTTCCATCGTTAAAAGAAAGTACAGAAAATAAAACTGTTGAAGTCAAAGCTCCTGAAAAGACTACGAAAATTGATGCTCCAAAACCACAAACAGATTTCGAAGAACAATTTACTCCGGAAATTATACCAGCTGTGTCAGTACCAGATGTTGATAAGGCTCAAATGAATGAGTCCAAAATGTGTATAACTTCTCTAGCCCAAGGTTCAGGAGCTACAGTTACAATACCATCGCAAACAAAAAACCAAGACCTTAAAAAGAAACTACCTGAACGATTCAGTTTAAAAACTAGCATTCCTATCAGCAAGATTGATATGAAATGCGTAAATAATCCAGATCCAATATTTCAAAATGCGGCGACTAAAACCAAAAAACCAGCTACTTTTAACCCAGCATTTCAAAGTACAAAATCAGACACAGGTCCTAAAGTAGAAATACAAAGTAATATCGTTATTAAAACTGCAAAAGAACCTGAAGTAGCGCCTGCAACCGAAACGAAGTCTGCACAAAACAATATAAATACGTTATTAAATGCAGCTGAAGCTATAAGTAAAAGTGAAAGTCAATTTCGAAAACCAGAACCAAAAACAGATGTGATAAATGAAGTTAAAGATCCGCCTGCATCAAATCAAAATTTCACACCACCTGCAGCCACAGCAAGACCTCTTTTTAATCCAATAAACTTAGATACAAAGGTAAATTTTCCGAATAAAACTGAAGGGAACTTCGAACAAAAGAACCAAATTCTGTTTATACAAAATAAAAATAACCCTAATCCAAAGATGTTGCTAACGATACAACAGCAAAACCCGCAAGTGTTATTGCAAAGAACGAATTTCGATTCAAAAAACCTGCAAGCTCCTTCACGATTGTCAAGTCAAAACAAGAAATGTAAGGATGAGCTCGTCGAAAATGGGACATCATCTAAAGTAGTAGCTTTGAAGAGGCTACATCAAGAAAACTGCGACGAGAATGACTTCGAAAATTTGATTACAGAGAATCAAATTTATGGCAACAAGATAGTCGTGAAGGAGAAATCGCAAGGCACACAGCAAGAGCAAGATCTTAAAAATAAGAAACTTGTTGAAAAACCAACACCAGCTGATGCAAAGAACGTTGTGTTGCAACCAAATTTTTTATACTTGAGCAATGTGCAATTTCCTGCAAATTTAATGATGATTAAGAACAATACAAAAGTCAGTCAAACAGACACAAATAGTACTAAAGCCAATAAAGTATCTCCTAATGAAAATAAGGCTACTAATGAAGTTAGTACTATGACAAACACAAATGATGTTAAGAGTCCTAAAACACAGAATGTAACAGCTAGTAAAGATATCCACGTTCTCAAATCAAGCAACAACGTCTTGCAAACTCTATCTAACAAAAGTAGTAAGTCAGATTTAGTTTTCCAAGCACCTCATCAAAAAGTGATAATGAATTCCCAAATACTATACCAAGTACCTATGATAGTTGACAAGGATAATAAACTTACTCAACCATTTATCAACAACGAGTACTCGAAAATTATCAGTCAAAATAAAAAAGACACAAAAAGTGATCAAAAAGCAAACGACAAAGTTTTCATAGCATGTCCTTACCAGGTAGATACAAAATTGCAACCAAAAATAGTTATAACCAACATAAGGCCGAAGATATCGAAAGTTGAAGAAGTAAGTTCTCTGGACGTTTATGAAAAACGTAAACGAATAAGACGATTAAAGTATTTATCGCATCGGGAAATTAAAGAGCAGAAAAATGAAACTAACGTAAATAATACGAAGAAAGTACAAGACAAAGTTGATAATTTGAGAAATATAATAACACCTGACAAAATGAAAGCTGAAATTTGCAAAGAGTTTTCTAAAACCAAAGCTATTATTGATGAAGGAAGTAGTGACAGTGAAAGTGACTATGGCGAAGATGAACTAGTGGAATATAATTCTATTATCGAAGAATATGGTACTCAAAAAGAAAGATGTGATAGGGATAAAATTGAATTTCTTGCTCATTTTCGATTGGCAACACACGATGCTTACCAAGGTAAGAAAAGTTCCCTAATATTTAAGTGTTAAAACTTGTTAGATTAATATTTTTGTAATAATGAAGAAGTTTTAGTTAAATGTGCGTGAATAAGGGTGATGGTTTTGAGTATTTGTAAGTTTAGGAGAAAAATTTTTGCTTTATAACGACTTTATTGTCCATCTGTCCACAGAAAAAGAGTTAGATCGTCAAGAGCGGGCCATAAGTCGAGATTCAGTGGCCTCAGCTTACATCACAGCTGGACGGCTAGATATCCTCATGAAGGACCCAAAAGTCCGGGAGAAGGCCAAGACCAGGTCTCCAAGTCCGTTGAAGATGGACCAATTTGAGTTGGAACCTGATGGAGTAGCGTTACAGAAGAAACAAGTGTACCTGTCCAACTTGGGGCTGATACAAGTGACTCCACAATATAGGAAAAGTAAGTTCATAAAATTTTAAGGATTTTGCGGTCACACACAACATTAATACTAAAATTTAAATTATCGCGTCAAGATATGCCGCTAGAGGGCAAACCTGTGATCTGAAATTCTGAAATACTTGCAATATGGGATTGAAAAGGTGGATAACCCTGAACACCAGTAAAAAGATCTCCCGAGATAGAATGGAGATGACTTACCAGAATTTTAGCCTTTCTTTAGCGTGCACCTACACAATTGTTTACGTTCATTTCTCAAAATATCGTTATTTTTTGCTACAAATTTAATTAACTGGATATTTTTAATGATTTCTAGATTACGAGAACACCTGGCAAGAAGTTCTACAAGAGAGGAAACGAAGAAACCGCAAACAATCAGATCACATTCTGAAGCAACCCAGACTCAAAAGTCATAACCTCGGATTAGATTCTAACAACCAGTTACAAATATTGACAGAAATCAAGAAATCCGTTAACGAAAATAACAATCTTATAAAGAAAAGGCTTGATTCTTCAGAGAATGAGAATTTAGAAGGTGATAGCATCCACACGTTAGCAGAGAAAAACATATCTGAGCTCAATCGCCTTTCCAAAATGGCTGATCGTAGCGTGAAGATGATCACAAGACAGGATACAAGAAAACGGGATTTGAATCCTGGATTCGACAGTGAAAATATCCAAAAACCTGTGCCAAAAATTGAAAAACCTTTTCAGAACTATCCTCAGATAAATATTCCAAATATTTCGAAGATAATTTCGCTGAAGACCCAAGACCAGACGATGTCACAATCAGTGACGTCACAAGCTACGTCCATGGATGAACCGCAAAACTCTGCAGCTGGACAAGAAATATTTGTTTCCACAGAGAAAACCAAAGATTTCGGATGTCAAGTTGATGAGCCGATGCCATGGTCAAATATGGAGATTATTTTCAGAAACTACAGGGAATATGAAACAGGTAAATATAATTTAATTTGTTGGAAGATTCCCATACTGGCCTGAAAATATACTGCCAACACGCAACAATTTGTATAAAAATATGAATTCAGAGTAGTCAACTTAAATTTCCTAGAGCATTTGCATAATGCAGATTTAGAATAACCCCAGTTTTCTCTACCTTTCAGCACGTAAAAAAGAGATCAACGACCTCCACCGCCGCAACACTGCACTACGTGTGGAAGGCGCGCACATTACACGCGCTGCATCGCGTGACTCTGACTGCGCGCGCGCACTTCTCGCCGAACGGCAGAAGCTCGGCAGTGAAGAGGCTAACGTGCGGAAATCACTAGAGTGGCTTCGTGAAGCTATCGATGTCGTACGGAATTACAGATATGATAAATCACTTAACGGTTTGGTGCATATTTAATGGTAGTTTCCACACAAATAGCGTTTTAAGCTACTAACCTCCATAATTCCGCTCTGAGCATCTCTATTGCCATGTATGCCAATGTATAATTGTAATCCACACAAGCGATTTGTTTAACTATCATAGATACGCGTGTGGAGGGAAAAAGGTACAGGGTCAAGAGCACGTCAAGCTTGGCACTTAAGATTTAAATTCAACTCTAGGCCGCTTATGATAAGAACGGTCCGAAGTACGAAGTGTCAAACTTGACGTGTTCTTGATTGTACCAGAATATACTTTAAAGATTGTCTTTAAATTTCAGTTTCATGTGGATCGTAATAGTTAAAAAACAAAATAATACTGTCTTTACATTCCAAACCTCTGTCGAAAACACTATAAACGTTTGAACTATCTTCAAGTTAAATAATTTCAAAATTGGAACTGTTAAAAACCGTTAATTTAAAATGGCGCCCAAACAATGTACAAACGCCGCACTAATGGGCGAGGCGTCTTGCGCCTGTTGTAAAAAGCATCATTATGTCACAAGAAATAATGTGCTCTAGTCACTTGTTTTTAATAATTTATTTGTTGTAATATATTAATGTTAGTTCCTACTTAAAATGTAATTAGTATGTAGATATATATGGGATGGCCAATATGGCCAATAATAGCATATCTTAAAGATATAAATACATAATATTTCACACCTTATTACTATCTATACAAGGTGTAAGGGGTCAGTGCAGCTCACACAATATAAAGTTTCATTCACATTGATCGTTCACTATGGTGTTTCAAAAGTAGAAATAGCCCGGTCGTTGGTTGGTATCTACAGACTGGCTTTTACTTTGTTTGGAAACTAATTTACATATCAGCTCAATAATCATGATTTGTATTAATAATTATAACAAAGTAATGGAGTAATTTAACAAAAAGCAACTGGGTGACGAAATACTTTCATAGGTTTCTCATAGATGGCGCTACAGCTAAAAAGTCGTTGAAAACCAAATACAAAGATCCGACAACAAGCGCATGAAAAAAAGTTCGTAAGGTCCGCTGGTTCGTTCCGTGGCTTAGTTGACATAGCGTCTGGTACGGTTTACTAGGAGACATCGGTTCAAATCCGGCCGGAGGAATTTTTTCTAAGTGTTCGATATTTGTATTAATAATTATCACAAAAAATAATTGAATATCAATTCAATAAAAATAATTAATTTCAATATTCATGTTCAAAGTGAGATGCAAAAGCTTTATGAGTCACCACGTGTCGAGAAACGCGCATTTGGTAATTCATCGAGGCGGTGAATGCTGTAGAAACTAGGGCTTTGCGCAGCTTGTGGTTGGTCTAAAAGAAATAATGCCAAACAGTACAGTAAGAAAGCGTTGTGGTATGTAAGATTAGACCATAGCCCCAATACCGTTAATTTGTGCGTTTGGCGTTCTGAAAATTAAGAGCCACCGATTCTTTTATGGCGAGTCGATGGCACGTCGATGCCATAGCCTACTAATTTGACTTAAAAAACACACTTAATTTGAAGACTAATTTGCAGCTTGAACGAGAAAAAAAATTAAGATTAGCGTAGTCATTTCCACGATGACTGAATCAATGAATGCCATATTGGTGCATTCCACTGACACTCAATTGTCATTGCAACTAGATTATAGAAGAATAACAATACACCGTGTATCTTTCAACCCGGACACTGGCAGAATTGTCTTGAGTAGGACAGAAGCCAAAACACACACAAAAAAAACTATTGTTATAATCTCGGTCGATTCTTAATGGAATTACAATGACCCAGTGGTTCTAAGAAAATTATTAAAATTGGGACTACCTACCTACTACCTACACTCTGCTACATAAAAGTATTTAAAGTCTATGTCTTGTAATAAAATATTAATTACATTTCCGGTTTCATGGACACATTTTATTACACTTGCAGAATCCGGTACGTACGGGTGGAGTTCAATGTTCCAAATAATAACGCACACACACTCAACATAGCCCTGCACTAGGGAAACCAATTACACTCAAACACACGCGAGAAATAAATGTAGGCCATACAAATATTTCTCCCGGCCTGGGAATCGAACCTGAGACCTCTGCGTGGCAGTCCGGCATGGTAACCGTTCGACCACAGAGGCAGTTGAAAATCGGCAAACTGTCCCTTACACCGTGTATTTGGGCCCGTATTAACAGCTACTAAGTCCGGTATTAAGCGCGTGTACACTGAGGCACTCTCTTGTATTAATAGACTATGATCATCGCCATCTTGGATGATACCATCTCAAGTCACCAAGGTTTTTTAGCCTAAGTGACTTATATAAACAAGCAAAGATTTTGACATTCTTTGATAGGCACTCAAGTGATATTTCTTAATAAAGACACTAGACTCAATAAGATCTTAATATCGACCTACTTGAGATAGATTTATTAATACGAGCCGTAATGTAGTCCGAAAAAAAAATGTCGTTTCGTTGCTTATTTTGTAAATATTGTATTTAAATAATATCACTTCTAAAGTACATAAGCATGCATATAACCTATTTATATGTTAGTACAGTTAAATACAAAATACATTCATGTATATTGTAAGACGTTAATAAAATTATCTTTATTTAAATTCCAACATATAAACTTGATACATTATAAAACTTACCATGACAACCTACACTCGAGTCTAGAACATTTTTCTCGTTTCATACAGTTTATAACGACGGCCGAATAGTGTCATCCATTCTATCCCCAACATAGTTCAATACGGGTGTAGTTCATATACTAGGTGAAATAGTAGACATTTATTGATTTATTATTGTACAACTTACATTAACAGTATTAATAATTCAACATGGAAGCCATAGTCAATAAGGGTGGAGTCGATCACAGCCTGAAAGAGGTTGCAGAATTTCGGTTACAAACCTTCAGGAGGTCACCGACGACTGCAGAAATTTCAATTCAGTTACTGAATCTGTTAAGGATAGGGCCTCTATCTAGAACGGCGTCTGCCTTAGTGCCTTCGTACGGGGTAGATGCAAAGTGAATTAAGGATGCCGGCGCCGGTAATAGTTGACTTCACGTATTAGTGTAGGCATATAAACTTGACTATTTTGCCGTCTGTACCTTATTTTAAGATTTAAATTATTTATCTAAAAAAAATGTATGGAATGGAGTAATATTTTTCTAAAATATTTTGCAAACTTATTTTTTAAATTTCTGTGGCTAATTTATATAAAATTATTTTGTAAAATCGATTGTATTAAATAATAATCCATTAATACATTGTGCAATATTTAAAACATCTTATTATAGAATGTAGATAATATTCGTAAATAAAATAATTACTTCGTAAATGTTGTTCTTTTATTGTTTAATATGAAGTTAAATAATGTATAAGGCAACACATAATAATATGAGTAGGTACATACAAATACACTGATATCACTGTGATATCACTATTACCTACAACATCACACATACTAAAAATGAGAATGGAAAAAAATAAAGGAATTATATCTTGGCGTTACCCATCATTCCAGTGTTGCCAGGACCCTTAAATCGAAAATTACGTTTCGTTACTTGAAAGTTATATTTTTGCTGCTCAAGTTACATTTCGTTTTGTTCTTAAATCAAAATAACTAACTGTAAAAGTAAGTTGGCAGTTTCATTCAGTTTGCGCATTTTTTGGGTACGTTCGTTAACTATCTGGGATTTACAATATCAAATATGGTTGAATTAAATAATCCCATCACTCTCAAAAGTTACGAATATTGCCATAAAAACAAAATCTTACAAATATGTTATATATGTATTACGCGAGAGGATCAAAACCCTAACCATCCGACAACACTGTCCACAATATAATTGCCATGTTGTATGCAAAACTCATCGAGTATATAACTAGAAATAGAGACGAAATAAGGGCTATCCACCCCTGGTGAGTTCAACAGGCAAATTGGCCTTATATCACTTTTAAATATCAACTCTCGTTTGCGCTGAAATCACAAATTACAAAGCTGAAATAGTACAGCGCCAACAACTGACCTGTGTGTACGCACGTCTCCGTATATTCCAAATATATTCTGTATTTATTGTAATAAAGATAATATCTCTAGCTATGGGGGGCTGTTCGGTGGTGTGGGACAAACAGCAACACATTTAATTACAAAACATCGGTAATTAAATATGCAATTTTTCAATTTTCGTCCGTTATAAGCAAAGCTCAAGATAAATTGGTCGATTTGAAGTGAAACAATTGACGACACCTGTCAATTGTTTCGAATTCGGGCTGGCCAATCGGAGCGCAGTTGTCACCGTAATGATTTGGCAGAATAGTTATCAAACAAATTAAATGACATTTCGTCTCTATTTCTGGTTATATACTTGATGGCAAAACTACAACACAGCGGAATATCTGACAACAATTTACAATAACAGTTATTGAAGAATAGCGTAGCAGTATAACTCATTATTGACAAATAACCGTTATTGTCATGTCTAGATGCGCGTCATTCACCGACGTTATTGCAATATGGCTGGATGGCAACACGGTAAGGACATTTGCTAAACAAAATTTGATCACTGCTGTGCTAATATTTCACAACAATTTTGTAGCTCGGGGGATTTAATTATTTATTTATAACAAAAATTAATACTGTATGTTTCATTAGCTATATAAATAATAGTTAGCTTATATAGGTTGCATAGGCAATGTTCATACACGAGGACTTATTTTATAAGTAGCGCCTAAATTTTATAAGGAGCAATTATTTTAATGGTTTATTTTGGTGTACACCAAATGTAGGCGCTTTTCTCAAACGTTCTTTTTAAGCAGTGAATACCGATTTTTACTATCTCCTGTGTTAAATCCCGTACAGACAATCTCTCACAATGATAGGACTTGGGCTATATTTGCCACGCGAGCCCAATACAGATTGGAAACTTGGGAAATTCCTTTGCAAATGTTTGCTGGTTTCACCGAAAAACGTATGGTAAACTTCACAAATAAATTCGGCAAAACTTAGATAAGAGCAGACCATACCGCGAGCGAAGCCAACTTAGCATAGAACACGGGGATGTTCGTGACGGTGCACGGTGACGTGCTGCCACTCGATGCTAGTTTTTCTTTCAAAACAGTAGCTAATGCATTGCATTGTCTGTTATTGTAATAATGACCACCTCTAATGACAACACTATTGACGGAGTGAAGGGCAACAGAGTTTACTTAGTGGGATTGTTGAGTAGTTCGATTAGCATAGTTCGCGGTGTGTCCTGCGCTTTATGCAAGTCCGATTACAATTCCACGACCCCTTACCTATGGTTTTGTTTAATATAAATACTAACAATAAATTATATAATGCGTCTTCATTCCACCTTATCCCAGCAACAGAGAGCGGTGCCTGCCACAATCGCTATGACGCCTATAATAGACTCTGGAACAAAAAGAAATAGAACCGTAAAATTTTGCTTCATCAGTATACCGACGCAAATTTGTAGCAGCGTTCTACAAATCATATATTTTTTAAACATCGTAAAACAACAATTTACATAATTAGTTTATTGAATGTCACGATGTTTTGCTAGCATGATATCACGAAATTCAATTTTGCGAAATTATTCGACGCAGCGCATCGTGTGGTATCGCTCTAAGAAATAATTGTTAATGTTTATAGTAAGTTACGTCAACCCATGCCGTCGAGAAATGGAATAACGGTAATTTTTTTAATGTTACGTGTGCTTTGGTGGTTTTTATCTATTATCTAACGTGTACCAATAAATTATTATTTAGGTAAGCTCGGTTCATCCACGGAAGTGTAAGATATAATGGCACCACACCTTTTCGCCATTATTCGTGGGGTGGAGCTTATTAAATAATTACATCAGTTGATTTTAATTATTGCCATGACATTATAGCACCGATTTAAATGTGCATAAATAAATATTAAAATTCACTTGAAGAAAAAATCTTTCATAGATTTCTGACAGACTGGGGCTACGGCAAAAAGTCGGTAAAAACCAAAAACAAACATCTGCAACAAAGACAGAAAAGTTCGTAAGGTCCGCTGGTATGTTTGCGAAAGCGTCAGATACGATATGCTGAAGACGCTGGTTTAAATCCAGCCGGATCGAATCGATTTATTCATTCATTTTAAGACAAAGTGTAGTTTATATGTCTTACTTGTATCAAGGGGTTCCTCATCGCCGATGGCGGCGCCGGTAAGCGCGGTGGCCGCGAAGGCCAGGCTGTTGGCGGCCGGCACCGCCAGCGTCAGGGGAGCGCGTTGCATCGCCACTATGTACGTGACGGATCCCGCCTGGTTCAACATGAACGGGATCACATACTGGGGACAAAAGAACCATTTTTAAATATAGTGAAGTAGACGTGTTCAATACCAGAACAAGCAATCTAAAAGGTTTAATACTTAGTGATATTTTTTTCTCTTCAAGTATGTAGCTGCTATAGCTGTTTCACCAACTTAATTTTGTTATTTATATTTATTTTGTTTTTGTTTAGTCGTCAATTTACTTTAATACTTTTTTTTCTATAACTGTAAATAATTATCTGTGGAATCTTTTAACTGGCCCTCAGCATACATGCACTGGTCTGTCAGGCGTTATATTATACTTACCATTCTATACTTGTTGCCTATATCCATTGACTTACAAATAAATGGACGACGAGTCTAATACAAAAACCACGAAAACAATGTCCCAAGTCAACCTATTTAAACGTAGAGACATGTCAAGGAATATGAAAAAGCTAAAACGTTGAATTTAAATTGTAATGTCATCGCAGTACTGTCTAATTTTGCTTGCTTCGCTATCAGTCGAACAAACGAAGACTAAAGCGTGAATGACGCTCTGTATACGATTTTAACGCCCTATAAGTTCGGACACTTTTTAGCGCGGACCCGACGTCCATATAATTGTAAGTCAATGCCTATATGATTAAAAAAACCTAGCTGTAATTTTTACAAAAATAATGAAAATAAAAATGTAATTAAAGTTTCGCCGCACCTTCGCTAATAAACTGGCGTAATTCAAATAGTAACATGATTTGGGAAACTGGTACGTGTACTAATTTGTAATTTGTTTTATTTTGAAGTTTAAAATCACAAAGACCGCACCGCCACTTTGTCCGTCACCCTGAGTTATAACTATACCAATTGAAACTTACATTTCAATCTATTTATCTTAAACCACTTAGAAAGTACTAGCAATACCGCGTTCCGGTTTTTGAAGGGTAAGGGTGCTGGTGAAATTACAGGCGCATGGGACTTGCCAACTTATGTTTCAGGGTGATGGGCGCAGTAGCGGTGACTCTAAGATCTTTGCGATTTAAAGTTACTTGGTACCAGAAAAGTAAAAAAAAATTGAAACCAATTTTTGTTCGTTTAACTAATTCAACGAAGTTTAAATAACGTCGTTATGCGTCACGTACCTTCCAGTTTGTAAGCAGGAATGACAGCTCTGCGTGCAATTGTCCAAACCGCGTGGTGGCGTGCACATTGGAAAGACCCTGTGTGCCCTTCCGGATGAACGGGTTGGTGCAACCCCACAACAGACCCGTCAGCGCAAGTAGACCTGCAAAATATCGGGCCTAACTTACGACATATTCAAAAAATTTAAAATGTCTATATTCCATACAGGCATGCAATCCTAAAACTATGTAATCCTAGAATTAATTGGGTGCAATTTCATGGAATGAGGTTATTTGCAGTACCTATCACATGATGTAGAGCGAGTGAGATGGCCCCTCTGCCTCGATCACTTAAGTACCTAAATCAGTTGCTTAGATTTGACTCCTCGTTGGACCTTTTTGCATGCTCAGTATCAAAATTTATGTTTGCCTCAGGACGCTATCTGGAGTCCTTGACCGGATTCAGCAGTATTATGTAATAAGTACTATGTGCTAGTTTAAAATGTAATAACAAATGGATTTTTTTTTTTCATTAATGTTAATCTGTAATAATTTATTGTTTATGTGGTATTGTATTTATAATTTTTTCAATTAATATAAATAAATAGATAAAAAAGTAATGGGCAATTAACCGCCAGTCTAGCCTACCAGTCTAGTGAAAAGTGTTAAACTTGCAACGGCCATCTACACGTAAGCTGGCTTACGTGTAGATGGCCGTTACGAATTTCAATACTACTGGTATTACAGTCAATTTCTTCAAGATTTTTTTAACGGCAAGGCAAACTAGTGGAGTGGCTCAGGTTGCACGTTCAAACAAGGTTATTACATGAGCTAATTCAATGCACGTGTGGTGGGAGAAGGTACTGACCCGAAAATTAGAAATCATTATAATTTGGTGGCATGTCTTTATCACTGGCCTGGAGACACTCCTTAATGGATTGTCTCTATTTACACGATGCCAATAATGTCTTGGCTTAATGGAATGGCTCGTCGATTGCCCGGTGTAAACGGTCCATAGGTTGGGCCTTTTCAAGGCGAGAGTGAATAGGTATTAAATAAGTGTGCATGCTCTATTGTCACTTTCCATCAGGGTGAGACACATGAGTAATGCGCACTTATTTTTATCTTAAAAAATCTGTCCTCCTTGTCATAAACAACGCATTTGCATTTTGGTGCCTTCGAGATATTGGCACCTACAGTTTTTTTTCTTTGAATTCCACAATCTGATCGCAGAAATGGTAAAAGAGTTGGAATAAAAGTTAGAGGTATGAGAGGGCAAGTTAAGTAAGAGAGTATCAGAGGAGCGAAGGGGACGACAGAGTGTAGAAGAGTGGAAAGTAAAGCGATCTTTAAGATAAGAAGGCGTAAAGGGATAGAACAGAATTGAATAGAGAAGTGAAAGGATATGAAGATCTCTACGCCGATGGATGGGCAGCCATTTAATTTGTGCGCGAAATTGGGAGACATGGTCAAATTTACGTAGTCCGAAGATGAACCTAACACACATATTTTGAAGCTGTTCCAATTTATTGAGCAGAGTTACTGACAAATCTGGGTAGCAAACATCTGCGTAGTCCAGTATCGGGTGGAGAATGCTCTGGGCCAGAGTAATTTTGGTTTTAGTCGGCAAAAAGTTTTTAAGCCTTCTCAGAGAGAAATGCGCACCAAACACCTTCCTGCTAACCTCAGCAACTTGCGGCTTCCAAGTCAGACATTTATCAAAAAATAATAATATATTATATAATATTATTATATTAATATAAAATAATAATATTTATTCTGTATTTACACTAAATATTTATTTACGTCTCATAAGTCCTCGCCTGATCACTTTTCCACCTTTCTCCACGTTCCTATTTAGTAATCCCGTTTCCAAATTTCATAACTATGATAAAATAAGTTTTCTCGTTTTAAGAACAAGTTTAGTCAAAACACTTTGTTAGTGACTGAAACGCTTATCACGAAAAGCCAAGAAAGAAAAAATAACTGGAACTAAATAACATTTAGTTAAACCGCTTATAGGAGGTTATAGATCTCGTAAAACACAGACTTAACTGCAAGTCACCCTAAATCTTTTTAACCGACTTCAAATAAAGAGGAGGTTCTCAATTCGACTGCTTGTTTTTTTTGGATGTATGTTACGCGATAACTCTTCGATTTGTGAACCGGTTTTGATGATTCTTTTTTGTTGGAAAGAGGATGCCTCAGTATTGGCCTCTCGCGCGCCCTCCATTCAGTAGGCTTTCAGGTAAGTTTTTTGTACTCAATTTTGGTGACAATTTCTTTTTATTTAAATATTTATAGAATATCATCATGAAATATTATTTAATATTCGAGTGTGGTAACCTGAAATATTCTTTAATAATCCACGATGATATATTCGAGTAATAAAATAATAAAAACTGTCACCAAAATTGAGTACAAAAACTACCTGAAAATTACTGAGGTTAAGTTAGTATATGAAAAAGCAACACGAGCTGAGCGAGCGAAGCGAGCATGCCGCGGCAGCGGCCTGCGAGTGCCAGAAGCCAATTTGCTTGCGTTTCTGAACATGTTATGAGATCAAATTATATTATAATTAATATAATATTAGTATACAACTATAAACATCATTTACTTAGTTTTAAGAATAAGTATTGAAATCATTGACTTACAAATAAATGGACGACGGGTCTAATACAAAAACCACGAAAAAAATGTCCCAAGTCAACCTATTTAAACGTAGTGACATGTCAAGGAATATTGAAAAGCTAAAACGTTGAATTTAAATTGTAATGTCATCGCAGTACTGTCTAATTTTGCTTGCTTCGCTGTCAGTCGAACAAACGAAGTCTAAGGCGTGAATGACGCTCTGTATACGATTTTAACGCCCTATAAGTTCGGACACTTTTTAGCGCGGACCCGACGTTCATATAATTGTAAGTCAATGATTGAAATTTAATTTTTGATGAATGCTGGAGCATTCCCGCGGATTCTCGTAACTGCGCCTTTATGAGCCTGTAGTAGATGTTCATTTGTACAGTGTAGATCTTTTCACGACAGGGATGGTGGACTGGGTTCATGATTGCAGCACGAATGATTGACATTTTAAGAGAAGAGTGTTGAAACTTGAAATAACTTTTTGTTTTTAAACATATTATTGCTAAAAAAAACCTAAACTAGAATTTCTCTAAATCTCCCGTAATCGACACTCACCAATAATGAACACCCAGTAATTGACACACATAAATAAGAAACGTGTTATTTGATAGAAAATTTTGTCCTAAATCTTTTTAGAGTTGATTTTAAAAAAGATTTCGAACAGTGGTGCTTGTCGGTCACTGGCGTCACTACTTTAATTATAATTTAGAATTTTTGTCGCTTTAGTTTTTATTCTGTTCCGCCAAAGTGTAAATTTAGCCTTAGATAATTGTTTGAAAAACTTGAAATGGAAAATTTTCAAAGTAAGTTTCAGAAAAGGGACTGACACCTCTGCAAAACGACCAGATTGCTAACCGAATAGTTACCGCGGTTATAAAAAAAACTTTTTATCTTGTTCAGGAAAATGGGCTAGAAGAAAAACAATTTATTGTTAAAAATATTTATTTCATCGCGAAAATTACATAGACAACAAATGCATGTCTGTAAATAATGTATTCATCTTAATTCATATAATACAGGCGATACAATTAGGAAAGTAACAAAAACTGCTGTTAAGTTTTGGATTAACAAGTTATTTCAAACTATGAAGTGAACTCAATCTGTTAAAATCCTGATTTTATTACCTGTAAGTGTATAATAAGCAGAGTAAATTTAAAATATTATAATTAAGAATCAGTTCAGTATTAGAATTTTACCTACATTCTTTGGAATAAGAGATCTTACTTCAAATCGAATCAGTTCACAAAACTCAATTTAAAAAAAAAAATCTTTTAAATTATGAACCGTAAATCAAATTATCACATCAAAATTATTATTTAATTACATGGCCAATTAAAAAGTGAAAAATTTGTTCTCAGTAAAAAACTTATTCCTTATTTAAATTAACATACACCTATGCAATTATTATTATGTAAAAAATAACAGTATGCCAACACAGACTTTATTGCCAATTGAGCGACGGTCGCATTTCACAGCATATATCCAAAATCACATCTTACAAGGACCTTAGCCAAACATTGGTCCCATCCCACTTATAAAATACCAGCAAAGGGTGGACACCACATCTAAACTTGCGGTAGGATAAAAAAGTACCACAACCTTGTAACCAACTACTTATTTGCATTGTTGAAACCCATAGTCCTGTTTCTACAAAATCACCAATTGTGAGACCGAAAGACTGGTAACTCTCAATGTATCACCAAAGCACTACAATGAGGCAATGATGCCAGTATTTTGAGCACCCCATTGAGACTAAATTTCAACACTAGTCCAGGCTCAGGCTTATTTGTAAATTTACTAACAACCTCACCCGACTATGTTACTAACATCTACAACAGCTTTTGTTCCATGACTCAATAATACATCAGATTTTACTTTCGTACAAAAATAAAGGTATTTAAATAGATCACTTGAAATGGTGATAGCCTGTGTGGTGACAAGACGATGTGAGGGTAGTTGAGGGCACGCTTGCATATTTGAACGTACTACCAAATTCAGATCTAAAAAGTGTCACATAGTACAATGAAGACTTAAGTTTTTTTTTTTGTTTGGTAAATTTACTACACTTTGTAAAAAGATAATGACTAACATATATTAAAGGCTTGTATTTGGAAAATACTAACCACCTCGCACAATTATATTACAAGCATTATAAACAACTTTTCTTCCATGACTTTGTAAATAATAATTGTGCGAGGTGGTTAGTATTTTCCAAATACAAGCCTTTAATATATGTTAGTCATTATCTTTACAGATAACATATTTCTTATTATGTATAATATAACTTTTAACTTAATTTATTTATAAGTGTGTAAGACATTATCAATTCATTAGCTAATGATATTATTTTAAAAATTACAGTTACTTGTAATTGTAGCTTATAAAAATCGTAAATCATTTTATAATTGCAAATAATTTGAGCATAAAATCTTATTTAAAAAAAATTCAAAAGTATATTATGCTACTTCACACAATAAATGAAAAAAAAAACAAGTATAAAAAAAATTACATACACTTGTTTATATAATAGTAAACATTGCACATTTAAATCAAAGAGATTTTAAAAAAATTTTAGAAATAAGATTATAAAACAAAGAAAAGGCTTAATTAAATTGTCATGTAACTTAACGAGTTACGAACCAATAGGCACACCTAATTTCATAGCATTTACTTCTGAAAATAGCACATAATTTTCATCCACCCATTCCACAAACTCCCTGCCGAGAGCTACAGCAACTTCTAAGGCCAAAATACAATCATTTTCAGCTCTATGTGCTTCTATTGCTTGGCGATTCAAAACCCTTTCATATATATCTTTTAATTTATACTTTTCTGTTGGTTTGTTACCATTACTAAATGGCATACGTCTTCTAGCTTTCGACACTCTATTTCTGTCATCTTTATAGTTCATGTTAGTTTTTTGTTGTCTCGGAGTTGTTTCATTCATTACTTTCATAGTTAACGTGTTTGCAAGAGTAAATAGTTCTACTTCTTCACTTGGTGTAGACTTTAGTGTAGTATCTTGATCGGTGATGGCACACCTTTCCTTTACAGGAATATCTTCCAATTTAGATGTTGTTGCTTCTTGAACTGGTACATTAGCAATCTTCCGTGCTTCCAATATGTCATAGAACCCGTGATAACAATCAGCACACAGTAAGTCTTCGGAGAACTGCACTTTCAACTTTTCCAAATGATTTTTGAGTAACGGATAATCAAAATGAAGTCCATTCTGAGCAATTAAACACACTGGCTTCTCCAGAATGTTGAGGAAATTGTTAATTAAATCGAATACTTCTCTGTTAAACGTTGGTTCATGTTCCAGTAGAAAGTTATCAAGGCCAGTGATTTTGGAGCCTTGTGTTGAAATTAGACGGCCCGGATTGAACAAAAGGGTAAGCTTATGTTGTACACGGGGCACTGCACCAGGGCGCGTTTCAAGCAAATGCGCCCTTTTCACAGCTACCATACTCAATTCAGTAATTTTCGTCTTATTATTTTCTTCTACCGGAAGCCCCGTGGTTTCTAGATCGAAAAATACGTAAGTCGCGATTGGTGCCATATCTTTCACTGACTGGTTACTACTGATTACTGAATAGGATATAGTGCTTACCTAGTGCATCCAGCATGTTTGGTGACTCATCCGAGTGACGAATCCCCCGGCCAGAAACACCGACTGCACAATGATACTCCACGTGTTTTATAGGATATATGCCACTAAATTCATTACGTAGACGAAAAGGCACTACAATTCTAATAGCGTTGTATCTAATTGTGGAAGTATTTTTTCAGTACTTATGTAATTAATATAGCAAAATGCGAAAACTACAGCAACAAACTTGCGTGTTTACAGTAAAGAGTGTATGATCTATGGTGTTTACTGTTTACGATAAGTTTTTTTTTTTAGATGGCAATGGCATGCACATACTCTATTTTGTGCCAATGTCAAAGTAAAAGGTTAGGAACGGACGGGTGGGAACGCACCTTTAAAAAATACGAGACGTGATGGTTTTCAGCTTTAAAATTAATAATTTACCTTTTTCAGGTGGTAAAAACCATGTGGTGTTTGTGACTGTAGTTACACTTGTGTTATTAATTTTATGCGGAGAGAGAGTGGGAAAATTAACTGCATGAAACAATATTCAACACAAGCGCAGCCATTTTGCACGATTTAACCTTCACTGTGTTCGCGGAGTAGCAAATTAATTTACTTCTATTTTTATGAATACCTGTACATGCCAGCACACCAAGCTACACATTGACGTATCTTGTTCCGTTGCACTGGAGGCGATTTTCGAACAAAAATGTGTAGTCTGATGTGCCGTTGTCCGTACAACAACCATCAAACAAATTTGACGTTTTCTTTCATTTTTCTTTCATTGTCTGGAATATGGTGGGATGCTCATCCTCAATCTCAGAAGCTTTTGAACAATGCTCTGATTCGAGCTCATCTAGATTATGGTTCCTTTGTACTAGAACCATGCCATAAATTCTCTTTAAAAGATCTAGACAAAGTAGGTACACTATAAATCTCTTCGAATTATTACAGGGGCTATGAAATCTTCTCCCACCAATGCACTACAGGTGGAATGTGCGGACCCCCCTTATCTATCAGGAAACAATATTTAGCGGACAGATTCCTTTTTAAAATTATTCAAAATTCATCCCATCCTCTTATAGGTAAATTACATCAATTATCAGAATTTATATCCTCTGATAAGTACTAGAGACTGTCTGTTTCGTACTTTTATTAAATTCATCAGGCTCCCCTGTCCAGTATATCAGTGTACCCTAAGTTCACTAAGTAGTCTGTGCCTAAACCCTCTCTTCGATATACCCTATCTCGCTCTTGTCTATATTACTGAATTTAGGCATTGACAAAAATTCCTCCAACAAAAATTCCTCAATAAGCATTGGACCGATTGACTTGTGATGTATAGTATACACCGATGCTTCTAAAATGTCCGACGAAGGATGTGTTGGTGCTCTGTCTGGATACTCAAATTTAAAATTATCCTTCATTTTAAATGTACTCCCCTTTCTTGTTTTTACTGGTGAAGCCACTGCTATCTTAGAAGCTCTTCTCTATATTGAGTCTCATAAGCTAGATAAAACTGTCATATTAACAGACTCGAAGAGTTGTCTCCAGGCAATTCTGTCCAATCATTTCCGTAACAAATCCAACTTTCCCTGTGTCTTAAAAATTAGAAACATGCTGTACAGTGGCTTCAGTCAAGGAAATAGAGTCTCTTTGGCCTGGATCCCAGGTCATTCTGGTATAGTAGGTAGAGACCGTTGATTTGATGGCAAAATATGCCACTGAAATTGGATGTCCTACTTACTCTCAGGTATTCTCTCATGACCTGCCCTTACTGGCAACTCAAAAGATGACGTCCACATGGGAAGTCGAATGGAAAGAGAGTAGCAAAGTGACAGGAAAGCATTATGCGAACATTCAAAATGTCATCCCGAGTAAACCTTGGTTTTACATTTAACGAAACATCCAAATCTTGCACCTACACCATATGTAGATTAAGCCTCGGCCACTCGACCACCCCAGTTCACTTAGCTAAAATTAGGGTAAGGGCGGCTCGCTTTGCGCATGCGGGCTGCAGGAAGGAACTCCGGATCACATTTTCTTCAATTGTAACAAGTACCCAGTCTCTTTGTACGATGTCCTCCCCTCATTCATTCTCAAACCCACAAATTTTAATACGATTTTAAGTCTTGTGGATATTTCTTGCATCAATGTCCTTTGTGATTATATAACCAGCAATAATATAAAATTATAATTTGTTCGTCCTGCCTAACATACTTACCTACTAACATTTGTCTATAATATTGTTCTCTGTCCCTTTCAGGTAATTCAACAGCTCTGCAACTTTAAAACCCAATAAGAAAGTATCTTTTATATCACATTGTGCTCTCAAAATACTCACTGAATAGCAGAGTCTACAGAAGCCCTTAAAATTACTAAGCGGAAAACTCGATACTGGCGAAATCTAAAATCTAAAAATCTAGCGCCTTAATGCAAAAATTAGTATTCTGCGGTGTATCACCTAAATACTTTAGGTTAATATACATTGCCGCGGAACAGAATTGAACGGAAACGTTAAGTTCTCTTCATTATGCAAGGCGCGCAGATTCACGAGAACGCTCTAGAATTCTCGCGCCTGCGCCTTAAATGTTCATTATTTAGTTTAGAATTTTAAATGTTTTACATGAGATGGATGGTGAAATTGGATATTGTTTTTAATTAAATTCTTTTTGAAAAAAGAAGAGAAAAGGGATATTTAAAGAAGAAGGCCTACCATGATTTGGGTTCGTGATTACTTACGGAAGAAACGAAAACGTTTTATGAAACATTCGCGTCAAACATATATTCCGCGGATTCGCCAGACGCCTTCGTCAGTAGCCGCGGATTTAGCTCCGGAATACGCACGACTTGTTCTCCCAAATAAACCATTCAAAAAGTCATGATATAATCACTCGACCACACAACTCTATTTTCTATATTCAGTCGGCTTTTCATGTATCCTCTACATCTTTATTGATTCGAGTAATTTGATAGATAGATAGATAGAAGTATATGAGGAGAGAAAGAAAACATTTTTATTACATACAAAATGTCTTTAATAAAAAAAACCACTGGAACACATACAGTTACCGAGTTTCTCACCGCAGCAGCTTACCATAAACTACTTATACTAGAGTCAAAAACAATAATCATAGTCAGATTTTATCTTTATATGTTTATAACAATCAAACCAAAATCTTTGATTTGAACAAGGAATGTTTAGGTATTTGTTTTGACACTGAAATGCTGAGACTATTTGATGACTGATGACTGCAGTATTTTCACAATACAAATACTATTGCACACAATAACAAAACACGGGGTCAGCACAGGCAGCCTTATAGCTAGATTGCAATCTTTTCCAGTGAATTTTGGTGTGATAAACTTAAAAATTATATGTATAAAATCAAAGGTTGCAATAAAAAAATAATAAATAATTAATTATTCAATAAATTTAATACATACAACCATACATTACACAACATACACAATGTTTGAGTAGGCAAGATATTAATTTAATAATTAAGTCAAAATGTGTGCCGACCCCACCTAGCATGGAATAAGGACATGAAGATGAGGTTAAGAATCAAAATATAAAGGCCTGTCTATGCGATCCAGCTGCAGCGCAAGGAAACTTTCCCAAGCCTAATAAGCATCATGTCATTTTGTAATAGTTTTCTTTTACATAACACACACACTCATGTACAAACATGTATGTAAATGGCTTGTGGAAGTTTACTGGCAGTGAAGCGTGACCAATTAACCAACACTTGCATCTGCACTGAAAAAGAATTTAAATTTAAGCTTAAAATAAAGTGCTAGCTAAGACTAAAATACATTCGAAATGTGCATCACTAACGAAGTATTGCTTCATTGTTCTATAACTATGGTAATTAAGATTAATAAACAAATCCCCATGGAAAAGTAAATACAAGGAAACACAAGTTCAGCATCAGTATTCTATGCTAAATAGTTGAAAAATCCCATTTTTTAAACGTATAATATGTAATAAGAAGCAGCAAAAACAACAACAGAAAAAGACAAAAATAGAATCCAATATTTTTGCAATACATTCCGATCATCCTTGTTGATGATGACTCTTTTCTCTTTATATTTTTTCTTCTTACCACTTAGTTTCCATTCATACTCTTCTAACTCCTTTCTATTTTTCTCTTCTTCAAGCAATTTCAATCTTTCTTGTTCCTTTTCTTTCTCTAGCTTTGTCACAATTTTCTTAGCTTCACAAGAATCATCGCAAGCAACTTTAGCTTCACCTTTCCTAACCAAATTACAAGGTGCTTCTTTCTTTAAATTACCACAAGAACAGTGGATTTTAGTTTTCTTCATACACACTTGATCACTAGCGCAATTACCAGGATGGCAAGTGGTTTTGCACCTGTGGCCACAATCCAGGCTTCGAGGACATTGTTGCTTGCATGACAACATTTCATCAGAGGCCGTACATAGCTCGTTGCATCGCAAATATAGCTCAGTCACTCCACAATGGCAAGGAACTCGTTCAAATATTTCACAAGGAGGACAAGGCCCAGGGTGACAAACTCGTTTCGAACACTTGTGAGTACATTTCTCTGGACGGGGAGCAAGACAATCTTTATTACATTGCCTACAAATATAAGGCACATTTGGATAATTAGGATCCAAAGCATACATGTGACAGATAAGAGAACAAGTATGATTGCCACATGATAATGGCCGTCCACACTCTCGACCACATGATCTGCGTTTAGCTGAATGACATGGCTGGTTTTCAGTCTCATGTTCTCCAAAACAAATAACAGGGACAGGTGTCTCGCAAGGAGGACATTCCAAAGTCATTATTTTCGTCTTAGGAGGCTGAACTTCCCATGGAGTAGCTGGTTTTTCAATCTGTTTGAACACTACAGCCACAAATTCATGACATGTTGCTTTGCATTTATGTTCGCATTTAGGATATTGCTTATCACAAATAGCTTTGCACGGTGGGCAGTCACCAAAATGACATGAATGTTTGTTTTCTTCAACATGACCACATTTATATTTAATTTTACAAGGCAGATTGCATTTCGGTGGTTTTGTTTGCTTTTCTCTACCGCAAGGCACAGTAATATAAGTTTCTTTACATCGACAAGTCACTTTAGACTCTCTAGGGCAGGGATAGCATGGACCGTGATGGCAGACTGTGGTACATTTGTGTCTGCCACATTGCAGGAGTTTGTCACATATCTTTTCACATGGAGGACAGTTACCATTACAGCATTTCCGGGCACATGGATGCTTTCTACAAGGTCTCATACCTCTGCATTTTGTGTCGCATTTAAAATCCTTACTGCAAGGCAGAGATCTTGTATGTGCCGAACATTGACATTTCTTTTGTATTAAAACCTGGCAAGGTGGGCACGGTCCTTTGTGGCACTTTTCTGGACAATTATGTTCACAACCTTCCTGTTTCTTACCACAGGTTCCAAGACAGGTTTCAATTGTATCTGGACATTCAACAAGGTGTTGATTAGCACCGCAAGGACAGGAGCGCATGCCAGAATTGGGACATGTGCCACAATTCCCTGTATGACAAATTTTCTCACATTTGTGATAACCACATGAAAAAGGTTTATGACATGGTTTCTGACATTGCCATACTGGATCATTGCAGGGACGTTTTGCTTTCTCTAAACCACATTGACAGGACTGTATGCTTGTGTAGCTGCATGGAGGACAATCTCCTTCATGACAAACATTTTCGCATCTATGGGACTTACAAAGGAGTAATTTTTTACACTGTTTGCCACAAGACCACCTCGGTGCACTGCACCTTACTCTTCTACGATCTTTTTCACAGAAACATGCTCCATCTATAGTCTGAGGGCACGGTGGGCATGGGCCAGGGTGACAGAGCAGCAAACACTTATGCTGACAATTACCAGAATAAGACAGTCTTTTCTCACATACTTCCCCACAAGAATGAGGTATCAACCAAGGATGGACAGGTGGATCATTGGTTTTGCCGCAAAAGCAGCGGTACTTATGAGGTATTTGTTCTTTAGAATACGAATGTCTACATTTAGGGCAGCACCATTCTATTTTTTTAGGGATGAACACCGTAATTGGACTTTGGATTTCTTCGGGTTTTAAACTAACACAGTCGTTGGCCCATTTTTGGATGCAGGATAGGTGGAAGTAAGAGTGGCAGTGGCCGCAGGTCCAGATGGCGTCCGCTCTTTTAATAGATCCGATGCAAATCAGGCAGGTGACGGGCCGACCGCTTATGGCTTCTTCTAGAAGGTTCTTGGTTCTGTTAAGCAGGTGAGAGTCGCCGCCACCGCTCCAATAGCTTTGAAAGACTCCGTCGAGGACGCTGGTCTCATAGGGATCTTCATCGTCGGAAGATGAAAGGTCTTTCATGTCCTTCAGATGCCGTTGGACATTTTGCTGCAATTTCGCTGCGGCATCGCGGTATCTCCGTGCCATTTTGTTTGGTAATCGTCAACACACACAGCGCATTTATTTAGGCGACGTTGGTAAGAGTTTAAATGAATTGTTTTCAAAGAAAAACCAATAGGAAATTCGGCTAAGCTCCATGTCGGCAACTCGTCGGCATGACGTTGACGTAAAGTTTTTTATACAGTAAACAACTACAATATAATTATCATAGAGCACCTCTGACGATTTTTACAAGTACTTTTTTTTTTAATTTAAAAAATAACTAATTTTCTATAGATATATCAGTTAATTTACTAAGTTATTAGCTGATTATCATCACAAAAACGTGATTTATATAATAATATGTACAATATGTAATGATTTTTTTCTAATGCTTCTTCTTTTAAATGCTCCAAATGAATTAATTTAAACAAATACAAAAAGTACTGTGCACTGTAAAAGACCTAATGTTGTCATTTTTTTTTTAAATTTATTAAGGCTTTGGCAAAGCCATTAGCCTAAACATGAAGTTTAAATATGTTTCTGTAAATATGGCCGCCACAAAGAGAATAGGCAATTTGAGGCGGCGTGCTTGGATTGACTCGGGATTCCTTAAAACGGGCCGATACGGGTATTTTAGTTCGAGATTCGTATAATTTCGCGTTTTAATCTTCGATTAAGGCACAATAGCACTATCCTATTCCACTTTAAACTAGATTTCACAAAATATTTGAAAGTCAAAATAAAAACGACGCTTTTCCCTCCAAAAGGTCCAGAGCGAATCCTAATGTTGTCATCTTAAACAGCGTTCGGATACCAGCAGTTAAATTTTCAAAATAATGATCCATAATAGAAATGAGTACCTACCCAATACACGACTGAAAAATTTCTTTTGTGTAGAGTCGGGTGCTTAAAAAGTTAAAACCCGACTGAAAAAGAGGGGAGTTATAAATTTGAAACCTTTGTCCTGTCTATTGCATCATAGTTCCCAAATGGACGGACTGATCTCTGATCTTTTAATTTGAAGATAATTAAGCCGGGATGGTGCGTTCTTATACAGGTTTTCGTGATTGTTACACATAGATAATGAAACTATTTTTTCGCATCTAAATCGTATATATATTTCGAGTTCTCAAGTTTTCGCGATTGTTACACATAGGAAATGAAACTATTTTTACGGATTTAAATCGCGTATATTTGTTGTAAAAATACGGTGGTTTGCATCAATATTAGACATAACTGGTTGAAGACTGTACCACCTCAGTCAACCTTGACCATGGGACCTGTAAAGGGCCCGAAACGTTGGTTTGTTTGAAAACAAACAAATATACGCGATTTAAATCCGGAAAAATAGTTTCATTTCCTACGTATATATATTTGTTTCTTTTTTTTTCAAATAAGTTAACGGATCGTTGATTTGCCCTTAAATGTTCCATGGTCACGTTCTGACTGACTTGGTAAATAATAATCGGGATGGTTCATAACTACGTTTGATGAACATCTACCCAGCTGTTTAAAGATCATCTATTAGTGTAAGGTAGTAAGTCATAAAAAAATATTTAATTTATTTAAGATTGTCCGATCGACTTGAAATTTGGTATTCTATGTAAATATTTATAAGTAATACAATAATTCTATGTTTTTAAGTTGCCTTTTGTTTATTTTAATGTGTGTAAACCTATTGAATTATCTAAGCTAATATTATAACTGTAAAATATGACTTTTTTTTTTTAATAACATGATTTGATGTTGCAACCGGACAGTCTGCAGACTATCATGAGACTATGAAACTTCTCAAGGACATAGAAAAAAACTATCCACTTTGCGTCATTTTGGGCTTAAATTGGTCACGTGTCGCGACGAATTGTTCTTTGAAGGCACCTATAACTGACTTTTTGATGTAAATACCTACACTGTTTTGTACCGGTTTTTCTTTCAAATACAGGTGAAATCTAAAAGATTATTTTATACGTTATAACTAGAAGTATCCGAAATTTTGACGTTAATCGTTCCCATACATACGCATTCGTAGGGTCGTATTCCAGAGCTCTCTCTACTCAATGCTCAAGTCAGGGCTTGAGTATGATTTCTAGTGCTGCCGTCCACTAACTAAACCGCGGCTAAGTGACAAACGGTCAAATAACCGTTTTAAAAAGCAAAAAATAGAGCACAAAATTTTACATAGCCGTAGCTCTATGTTAGTTATTTATAAGTTTAAAGCAGCGATTCGATTTTAGGGCAACACCTTACATATTCGTAAGGATGCAAAATTTCGATTCAAGTAAAAAAACTAGGTTCTTCAGTTACATACACATTATTATTATTAATGATAGGTATTTACAAAACTATAGGCAGTATGCACATATCATTTTAAAAAAGTAGGAGTAAAAAAATTGGTGCCAATTTGTAGTTACGGTTCATACGTATTACTTTTTATTATATATGTTACGATTTGAGTTCTGAAGTATTCGTTAGCGGTGGCTCTATAGCCAAATAAACACCTAAATAATATAATAATGGAGTCTGAGCCCGTATTTGTTCGTTTGTTGATAATGAAGTTGTTATGATGACTAAAACGTAAGTACCTATACTCAATAATTAACACTTCATAATAATACATAGGTACCTAAATTACAAGTCCATTTTGGCATTTTTATAGCTTGTGGTCACCTTGCATTATACATTTTCATACATTTAAAAAAAACTAATATCTTTCTAATTAAATCATCAAAACGAAATCTGAAACGACAGATATTTAGTATTAAATTACTACTAAAACTTTACCACTTATAATTTCTGTAATACTTAAAAATCCAAAGATATTGACGTTTGTTACTTTTCAGAAATTGGAGGATTGAGTGAGCACTTAAAAATAATTATTATTCAAAAAACCTTTCACATTACAGTCAATTCGGGTAACTTTTTTTGCGTTTTTCTAATAATTTCAAATGTAATTATGTTTCTTAACAATTACTTTATTAACTGAATAGTGTTCTTTTAAGCCCTTTTTTCGTTCTTATTCAACAAAACTGTTCTAGATTTGCTCCAAAAGTCACATTCAAAGTTGCCTTGAATTTTGGGTAACTTTGAATAAGATTAGCCTTCGATATGGAAACCGTATATTTTCTATAAATTTTACAGTTTGTGTAAGATTATACGACATATTCATATTTTTTAGATGTGAATCTGTCCAAATATTCCTGACAGTGCGTTCAAAAACGACATTTGATTTGGTATTGCCATAATAAAACGAGACGAACTAATTTAGTTGAAATGAAAAACTTGTTTTTTTTTAGATTTTTTAATTAATGCGAATAAAAATGAAAATTTTCTGTTTAATAATAAATTCTACGCTTATTTAGCTATCAAACAAGATCAAAATGAATCACCTATAACAATTATTTTAGGCAAAGTAAATACATAACAAAAATCTATTCACCCCACTCCTTGAATAAAATGTCGTCATCAATATAAATACGGCCGCCTTTTCTAGATAGCTGTTGCTTTTTTATAATATTCACAATATCGGCTTTATTAACTTGACATGTCTCAACGTTAGAGGGCCAAGACCAACCCCCTAAAAAGCATTTTTGGAGCACTGAGACAGTAATTTCCAAAGTAGTAACTTTTAGAACTCTCCCTGGAAACAGACTACCCTCTTCTCTAAAAACACAGTCAAACACATTCAAAGTTACCCAAATTTCTCTGTTTGGTAACGTCGTCAAAATCTAATTCGTTTTACGCGTAAATACAAAACCAAATTAAATTATTCTTTAAAAAAGCGATATATAAACCTCTACTTAAGTGTGGAAACCAAAACTTACCAGTGAATATTCAGATTTATATATTTAATTCCGATTCTAAAACTGAGCAACAAATCACACCAAACTACTTTCGCCAAGAAAAAGCCGCGAAAGTTTAAAAAAATACAATTTAACATAACTTTTTCTTTTCATAACTTTTGTTTAACAATTTTGTTCCGATTTACACAGTTTCAATACTAAAAATAAAAGATTGCCATACATAAAATAAATTTTTAAATCTTTTACGCAACTACGTTCAAAGTTACACCACGATTCAAAGTTACCCGAATTGACTGTAGTGGCTTGTTTTATATTTTACAAATTCATATGTAACTTTTACTAAATCGAGACATAAACGAAATTTAATTCATTTATTTGGTTCTTAAGAAATCGTTCCTTTTAAAAACGTGCGGATTGAGTGAGCCTAAGAAAATATTTGTAAAAAATTGAAAAAGGCACTAATTGATCTGTAATTAAAAACGATAGTTTAACTAAACTTTTACTATAAACTAGTGAAATAATATTATATGTAAACTTAATACTTTTGTAGATCTAACTGGCCCTCTGTGAGAACTGAGTGAGCACACATTAAGTAATTTTTGTCTTGTTTTATCTTTTTACAAATAGAAATACTGCATGGTTTCTACAATTGTTTTAGCACTTTTACATTATAAATGACTAAGACATTTTAAACATTTTACAGAGGATGCTCACTCAATCCACACACACCCGTGAAATATCATTAAACAAATTCAATATTCTAAAACTGGGTTATGGTTTTTTATAACATCTCAAAAAATTATTTTGTCACTTTAGTTAGCGGACGGCAGATTTGACATTTTTTTCGAATTATGTTTTGCAACATGTAAATATAACTAAAATAAAAATGTGACGACCCTATGCTCCGAGCAGGCGTGAGTTGGATTAAGGCAGCTAACAGGTTGACTGCATGTTTACAGTTTAATACGTGCAGTCGTAATCAACTACATTAAGCCGATACCTCGACTGCATTAAGTTGATTACGACACTTCACGCAATAACGGCAAACATTCAGTCAATCCGTTAGCTGCCTAAATGTCTTAATAGTGTTTTAAAGTGATACATACAAAACTACAATTTAAATTATGGCACATTATGTTTATTGATTATATTCCCTTTAATACACATAGTTATAAGAAGATACCTATTAGATAGGTACTAACATATACATGCTTATTAATTATGTAAAAAAATATTTATAAAAACAGATCTGTACACTATCTACGTACAGGTCAAGAGCATGTGACGGGGCCAAAATGTGGTAGGTGAACGCACTGATTGTCCTCGAGTTGTTTCCACGATAGATGTGCCGGTCGCCGGTGTTTATGCGTATGCCCAGGTGTTCGGGGGTTTCGCGCCGCCAACTCTGGTCTCTCACAGACAGATGAGGTGCCAAGATGATTTTTCCGTATTGCCGTTGGACAACTGCTACGGTGATATCGCGTCAAAAGCGTCCGTTCGCGCGGCGTATAGTTGCAACAGAAACCGTTAAAACGGGAATGTCCTACCCACAAATCAGTGCCTTTTTTAAGGATAGGAATAGAGGGGAGGCGAGTGAGATCATTTGTGCATTTGGGAAGACGTCAAAGATTTACACTTAAGATTTAAATTCAACTCTATGCCGCTTACGATGAGAACGGTCCAAAGTACAAAGTGTAAAGCTTGACGTGCCCTTGACTGTACTAACTTATACAAGATCATTTGAAAAACATGTCAATAAAACTTTGCGACACTATATTCTTACAGCACATACAATTTTTTTGTTATTAAATAAACAATGCCTATCTATAATTATTGTAAAAAAAAACTATTAAAAACAAGTGAATAAAATTCTACAAAATTCGACTATTTAAGGCACATATAATATAATCTTTTTTCTATTCACAATTTATATTTACTTAAAAAAAGCTTCCATAAAACATAATTATTTAAAAAAATATGCGTTTCAAATCTTAGTGAAACAATATTAACATAACTATTAAGCTCACGTACACTCATACCTCGCTTATTCAAAAATATATATGTATATTATCGACAATTATAAAATAAAAGGGTTGAATAGTTACTAATTAGGTTAAAAATTAATTGTACCTTGGTATTCTAATTTGTGATTTAGAACATCCATTTTGTCGGAAATTGTTTATTATTAAAAAAAAATTGCTAGTCATTAGGGTTATCATTCGGAAATTTGAATAGTCCAGACAAAAAGCCCGACACACTGACATTCGCAAGAAAATCCGGACTTTTTAATAAAATGCAATTGGAAACCTCTCTCCTAGGGACTCACCATATTTATTCACACGGAATCATATGTATATGTCTATCCACTAAGAGCGAAAAAGACTGCGCATTTCGGTTCTATTCGTATCGCCTCGTATCGTATTTTCGCTCTTGTTACATAGATTTAAAGATTTTTCTTGCCAGGTTAATACGATTTCGTGTTGATAAGTGTGGTGACTGCCTTACGCGGCAGCAGGTATGGGCAAGCACCTGAGCAACAAATGTTGTAGTAAATTTACTTGAATTTTATTCAAATGTAGTTAGTTACTACAAAATTATTCTGCATGACTATTGCTACGAAACCGTCAAGTAGGCGTGACTAGAGTCTTTTGTTTAATTGCCAATGATAATCTCCTGTTATTATCCAGCTCAGTACATTTTTTTTTACGCACACACTCAACGTAGCCCCGCGGTAGGGAAACCCTGAGTCGCGGGTGCCATGGACACATTTAAACAACCACAAATTCAGGAGAGAAATAAATGTAGGCCATACAAACAATTTTCCTGGCCCAGGAATCGTACCTGAGACCTCTGCATGGCAGTCCAGCATGGTAAACATTCAGCCACGGAGGCAGTTAAACATGTTTACAGAATTCTACAGAGTTGCGAGGTAGATATTTTACTTCATATTCTAGAAATTGTTACCCTAAGTAAAAAAATGAGGACAAAATCCTAAGAGGTCAACAAGCCGGACAAATCCAGACAGATGGTAATCCTACTAGTGATGGACTTTCTAATGTTATCCACAATAGTACCCAGGTACAATAACATTACAACTAAATTATCAACATAATTGTTGCTTAGCTCCCTTTGTATATCAGTCGTCGTTTTGCATTTTTATATTACACTTTATATGGTAACTACGAATGTTCATTCCATACATTGACTTACAATTATATGGACGTCGGGTCCGCGCTAAAAAGTGTCCGCACTTGTAAGGCGCTAAAATCGTATACAGAGCGCGACACTCCGCTTTAGTCTTCATTTGTTCTACGGACGTCGCGATACTGCGATGACATAACAATTTAAATTTCGAATAGGTTGACTTGGGACATTTTTTTCGTGGTTTTTGTATTAGACCCGTCGTCCATCTATTTGTAAGTCAATGATTCCATAGGTGAAATTTGTTCAGTATTATCAAACCTGTCATTTAAACATTCCCTGGTCATACATTTGCTGTAGGTGAGGGGTAATGTTCTGTTTATTGTTTGTTTTTGATTTTTCCATATTTACATATCACCGGCTATAGAGTGAAAATGTCATATGGATGCCTAAAGACTTTACAAATTAATAAATGTTAAATTTTACTTTTGACAGCTATTAACTTATCAATTACAATTGAACAGAGATTAGACTTTGTAATAACATAAAAACTGCAATAACTCTTGGAAATTTCTTCCAACAACTTCCAACCTCATGAGATAGCATTGGTATACGTTGTAAATTACATGCAACAATGCTAAAGGCGATTGCATCTCACTAGTACCTTACTAAAGGCTTTATTTTTGTCAACATTGTACAATTATCATCTGCCCATGGCAGGAAATCGTGTTTCATTGCAACAACACATTCAGCTAAAATCAAGCAATCAACTTCAGCTCTGTGTGCATTAATTTCTTCTTTATTTAGCAGTCTTTTATATAAACTAGTCAGTTTAAAATCATTGGTAGCAGTTTTTTTATCAAATACATTCCCTATTGCCTTACTACGCTGTGTATTTACAGGTTTACAAGCAGGTTCTTCAAACTCAGAAACGGAGGAACAGATATCATCAATTTCATCCAATTCCTCGTTTGTTAAATTCAGATCTGACCACTCATCTTCATCATCAGTCAGTATATCTTGATCACTTATTGTTTCCTCGCTTCTTTTTCCACTTTCCAAACTAATTTCTTGAATATCTTCAAAATCTTTATAAGTTAAGCTTGAATTTTTTAAGAGCGCGCGAAATCCTACCAAAGAATCGACACATAATAGATCTTCTGGCAAGGAGACACCAGCATCGTGGCATTCAGCCAATAGAATTTTAAAATCAAAAACATTACCATTATGAGCAACCAAACACACTGGTCTTGTCAAATCCTCTAGAAACATAATAAGACTCTTTACTATTCGCTTGAATACTGGCGCATGTTGTAATAATTCGTTCGATAGACCGGTAAGTGTCCTCACTTTAGGATGTATTGCTCTCTCGGGATTTAATACGACAGTGAACTTACTAACTAGAGGTGTCTGGCCGTACGAAGTCGCTTCCAAGATTTTCCTTGATGCGGCGACGAAACTAAAATCTGTAATTTTCGTCTGATTCTTCTCCTGCCATGGTAAACCAGTAGTTTCTATGTCGAAGAACACAAATGTTGCGATTGTAGGCATCTTTTCTTTTTCAAAAAAGCTTACTGTCTACTGAAGTCATGTGTTAGATACTTATTCATAAAATATATCTGAATAAAGATATTCGGTCTATAAAGAATGAAATAATAATTACTGATAAAAGTGACCAACCGCAAGTGCAGTTATATATAATAATCACATAATAATATTTCTATTGGCAGGATTGGCATAATAAGTTTTGACATTGACAACTAAACATGACATTTGTCAAAAAAGATAGTGGTGTTCCTTGGTTGCTTTGTGCGTGAATCATCGTTTTGTCGTGTAGGCATCGTATAAGAATTGTTAATCTTAACAATATTAGTTGTTAAGAATTAATCTAATACATAGAGTATTCGTGATAAAAATAAATGATTTGTATTCTTACTTAGTCAAGCGAGAAAGAGTTTTATCGACAGTACTGCCACCTAGTAGCGCGTAGTTAATATAAAAAATGTTGTTATCTACTCGCTGCTAGATGGAAACTATGCTATTTTAAAATTCAATGTGTATAAATACCGGTTATAGAGTTAAGCTAATTGTCATAATATTTTAAATTAAACTTAAAATTATTTTATTAAATAATATCTTAAAATGATACATGAAAAGTACAAAGCTGTAACATTTGGCAAAAATAATTATTTAGAAACAAAACAAAAATATCAAATATGACGCTACTCAAACTCAAACGCTACTGCCTCTCTTTCTATCTCTTTAATTTTTTGTTTTGTAGCATTCGTTTCGGCGGCTTAAACACGGTACTCAGAACCTTAATTATTAGGTAATGATTGCAAAAACTTTTTATACGTTTATGAGAACTATTATGAAATTATGACTATGAAATTATTATAAGCTAAAAAGATGATGAAATCTCTTTAATCTTTCCACTGAAATTCTAAATTTGTTGTCTTTGGAAATGAAACAATTTTTTCGGACTGTAATCGCGCATATTTGTTATTTCAAACAAAGCAACGTTTCGGGACCTTTACAGGTTCCACGTTTACTGCTGACTAAGATGGTAGTCATCAGTATCAAATTTAGATTCTCTATGACCTAAAACAATTTTAATCGTTAAGGCTTACTCATAGAGATTGGTGAAACTACAGGCACATAGGAATGTTAACTATGTATCACGGTGACGGGCGCAGTGGCCCTCAGATCTTAGCGGCACTGTGGCTGGTCAGAAACCGGCGCGTGTCGTTCACCACCAGGCACACAACTTGACCGACCTGCCATTTGGTAAAATGGCCATAAAAAAATATTCAGCGGTACCTCGATTTCGCTATAACTGCGTAACTTCTTACAATACCCGTCGCGATGCGGCGTGGTATTTTTCGTGCAGTGGCGGATTTGCCCTAAGGCCCAGTAGGCCCGGCCTCGGGCGGCCAATCGTGACAAAAAATTCACTGATGATGACAAGAAATAACTCATAGTACCTAAATATTGTAAAGGTTCACGCACATTATGGCGGGCCGCACTACACCGCATCGTATAATAATAATCTTCCTAAATCACTTTCGTACATTTTATGCATAAAATATAGATATGTTACGTATCTACAATGTAATGTATAATCACTACATCACTACATATTGTCACTACCGCGCTTGTCTGTCTGTCTGATCGCGATAAACTTAAAAACTACTGAACGGATTTCCACGCGGTTTCCACCAATAGGCAAAGTGATTCATGAGGAAGGTTTAAGTGTATAATTAATTTAGGTTTTGTGTAAGTGGGCTGAAATATGACAATAAATGTTGAAGCAAAAATCCATGCCAGCTGAAAGAAAGCAATGTTCTTGAAAATTATAGGTCTTAAAAAGGCCTACATAAAAATCTGCGTCGTAAATTCATTATGTAGTCTACCAGTATATGAAGAGTGCTGAGAAAGAGGCCGCTGGTACTGACCACATGGTCTGGGGCCTAGGGTGGCCAAGACTGAAAATCCGCCACTGCTCACCGATTGCTCATGTTCGTTTTTTTTTTCTGTTTTCAAGGACAGACCGCGTGAAACTGGCGCGTGTTGGAGTGCGTGATAGATGAGTGCAATCACGCGGTCTTTCCCTTTTCCTTCCAACGTTTTTACACGCGAGATAGTGTCTGTGTAAAGCCCGCTATTTTCTTCCCATAAACAAATAGTACTTCCAACACCATTTCGTCAGATCGAGATGCTTTCAATGTTTCTCAGTTTGAACTTTAACGAAACCTTCATCTGTATAAACTTGTAGCTACGGCAGGTTTTCATACATCGCTCACATCGCTCGCGGTGTGCTTCACATGCACCATAAATAACCGAACTGCGAGCCAGCTAATAGATTTACTAGCAGTAGAGCTCCTTGTGAAAGAGTTCTTCCAGGATAGTACTGCCACCTTACATCTATTTCTGCCGCCAAGCAGTAATGTGAACGTTACTGTGTTCCGGTTTTGAAGGATAAGGGCACTGGTGAAATTACAGGCACATGGGACTTGTCAACTTATGTCTCAGGATGACGGGCGCAATGGCAGTCAGATCATAGCGATTTAAAGCTCTCAGTAGCATTGTAACTGTTAAGGACAGGCGTCTAGCTTACTATCAGGCGCACGACTTGTTCATCGTGTCACTTGATGTTATAAAAAAAAAAACTATTGAATACAGCGGTTATCTTGTAAAATTTCGAGGTAAGTTTGTGTTCTTTCTAATGTGAAAATGTTTAGGATTCGTGTTTTCACATCATATACTAATCAGTGTATATTACCCTCAATTTTACTATATATCTTTCCCAAAGTGATTGATTCAACACTTTGACTGTAACGCGTAACCAACCAAATCCATTTGAGGTATTTTAGTATAGACTTTGAATTCTTATTGCCGGTATTGGATGGAATAGACTATATTGATGGGATTCTGAGTGCTGTTTGGTACTGCGGTATACAATTAACCAGATTATGAATAAACTTAACTCACACAGTTTAAAAAAATAAGCCAATATTTTTACATGTTTATTTTTATTTATTTACTTTATTACATTCAATTAAAACTTTTTCTTAATACATAAAAAGTAACCATAAATGTTTATAAAATAAAAATTGCGTAGCATTACGGTTTTTATTAAAATTATTTTAAGAATAAAAGCTTTTTATAAGCGCAATTCACTTATTAGTAAGAATTGAAGCGTAGGTGTATTAATTATTACAAATGATGTAGTTTTAAACAAAATAAATGACTAAATAACTAAATAAGATTGGTAACGTTAAAAATATGGTCAATGGCACTTAATTGTAGAATTTAGATAAACTTAGCACCATTTTTACAGACAATACTTTTTCTGCGTAGTAGTAAGATTACACACAACATATTTTCTTGCACATTTTTTCATTTCATTATTAAACCATGATGTTCTAAGTTTGTTTTTCGACTAAATTAGGTCAAAAAAAGTCTTTTGCATAACATGGCTGATTGTGTGAGCCGTTACATTCAAACTTTCGCCTTCTACAAAAATTAGTATAATTAGTACAAGGTCGAATAAAGTTTTATCATCTAGTGATCGTGTTTAAAATAGAGTACAGTCAACATTGACTTACAATTATATGGACGTCGGGTCCGCGCTAAAAAGTGTCCGCACTTGTAAGGCGCTAAAATCGTATACAGAGCGCGACACTCCGCTTTAGTCTTCATTTGTTCTACGGACAGCGCGATACTGCGATGACATAACAATTTAAATTTCGAATAGGTTACTTGGGTAATTTTTTCGTGGTTTTTGTATTAGACCCGTCGTCCATTTATTTGTAAGTCAATGACAGTCAATGACAAATTTGGTTAAACAAATGATAATTTTGTTCTAAATTCTTCGAACTGAAATTCCCCTTGTTCACTGTCCTCCGAGTTGTGTCCAGAGATGGATAAGTGCCCGGGTTTTAACTCGGCGGCGCGGCGCCTTGTTAATAATGTTTAAGTCAGGTTAAAACCCAGACGCCCGAAATCGAGAGCAAAAGCTTTACAACTAAATATTTGTTGAAAACCGAGTTTTCTTCAAATTGAATGTGATTGAATGAATATTATTACAAAAAATATTATTACAAGAAAGGTTTATCGCTTTCTGATCTAGAAGATTCGATTTGCGTTTCTATTGAATGGATTCGTTTGAAAATCGCATTGAATTATACCGATACAAAAATTTTATAGATAGTATGCGCTTGAATCGATCTTCATAAAAATCGAATTCTAATGTGTTTATTATAATTCGTCCAACCATTTACATATTTCACTTTTGACAGCTCCAATTTTAATCAATTAGTGATGTCCTAATGCGTTTCCGGTTCTGTTTTTTTTAACAATCGATTTTATTTACGAAGAAGTTTAAATTGTGAATTTGAGCGGGCTCAAAAAAAAAGATATTGTCTGATTGTGACCGTGATGTTGCGTTTGACAATTTGTGTACTCAAGAATTAATAATTAATGCTAATGAGGATTCAAGCGATGAATCCCGTTCATATAGAGAAGAATCCGACGATTCTATATAAAAACAATAAGAATTTATTGTAATTATTTATAATTTATTTAATTTCATTGTAATTTATTAGACAGGCACAAAATTTGTCAACTTCTTCGTTACACAATCTGTTGGAGCTAAAGAGCACGTCCCTTCACAAAAATAAAAAAGTCCAGGAAGTATTGCATTTTTTTGTCTTTGGTTGTATGTCAATAATTACGGAACTTCGGAGGTATGCATAAGTCACAAGTTAAATAAATGGTTAATTGATTTTTTACATAGAAATTTGTAATAAGTACCTAAGTGTGGAATTATACCATATTCCATATTCGCCGTTTCTGCCCACGATGTTGGACAGAAATGGGTAAATCCCTTTGAGAAAAACCCGTGTCAAATACGGGCGGTATTCGCCACCACGGTCACTAGACGAAATTATAAAGCCTTATAGAAGATAGTCTTAGAAATAAGTATCTTAGAATAAAAAAGAAAAAGAATCAAATAATTAACGAACTCTAGTATTTTCTTGTTTTTTAGTTTTATTCGCCAATTTAAACCAGCCAGCTTTTTTGTTGCTATCTTTAGGCATGGAAATCGACCTAGACAGTCTTTCCCTGTCGCTATCTCGATTCAAAATCTCACTCGATTGACTTTTCTTTTCGCGGGCAACACTTTTCCGTACGGTTGAACCCTGTACTGATGAATTCTCTCTGTGTTTTTCTGGTTTTCGGTGCAAAGTGGTGCTGGAGCTAGTCAAGCGGTTGTTTTGCGGTTTACGCGTTAAAGTTGTTTGGCTGTAAGACTTATTTTTCTGTAACGTAGGTCTGTCTTCGTTTAGGTTTTTCGTTGATGATGATTTTTTGAAGATTGGTTCTTTCGACTTGGATTTTCTCATTTTCTGCGAGTAATGTACGTCGTGTTGGTCGTTGTAGTGTCGCGGGGTCCACGGGGCAAAGATTGAGAAGCTCTTGGTAGTGCTCTTAACTTGCAGGTTTGAGGAGTTCACCGAAGAAACATCATCGCGGGATCGATTGCGCGAAAGGTGGCCAGGATCAGGGATGTCACCAACTGAAAAATGTTTAGTGGTATTAGTTGGCAATTTGTATATTTTCTACATTGATCTGAACTAACTCTGGAGTCACATGTGGACAATGTTTTCCAGTCTCCGATAAAAAAAAGTCATATGCAAAATAAAAGCCACCAACTTTAAGGCCCGTGGCCTACGTCCTTTATTATCATAGATATTTTTGACCAAAACGGGTGGTAAAAGTAAAGAAAGGTGTACACAGGGTTATTTGTAAATTTACAAACCACCTGGCAGGAGTGCGTTACTAACATGATAAACAACAATTTTTGTTCCACAACTTTTTACAAAATATAATAAATTTACCAAAAATACAGTTCGAGTTCTTAGGTTTTCGCGATTGTTACACATAGGAAATGAAACTATTTTTCCGGATTTAAATCGCGTATATTTGTTTTTTAAACAAACCGACGATTCGGGCCCTTTACAGGTCCCATGGTCACGGTTGACTGAGGTGGTACAGTCTTTAACCAGTTATGTCTAATATTGATGCAAACTACCCTATTTTTTCACTATAGTTACAATAATTACATTTTTGGAGTAATTTCACAAAAAATAATTGAATATCAATTCAATAAAAATTTAATTAATACAGTGAATAGCGACATCTCTCGCCAGGACTGGTAGCTGTAAAGGTACTAACTGGGAGATAAATCTGTAATAGATTTCTCATAAATGGCGCTACGACTAAAAAAAAGTCGTTGAAAGACCAAGTACAAAGACACGACACACGCACATAGAAAAATTCGTGAGGTCCGTTGGTTCGTTCCGTGGCTTAGTTGGTATAGCGTCTGACACGTATGCAAGAAGACGTCGGTTCGGATCTGACCGATTCGAAGGAATTTTTTCTGAGTGTTTTTTCTGAGTATTCGATCTTTGTATTAATAATTATAGTTACAATAGTTATTAATTAAATACCTTATTTTTAATTTTTCAAAGAAAACATTCCAATTTACGCTACATTAAGTTTTACAAATTATTTTATTGAATGAATTTTTATTAAGTTCAATTTCTTAATAACAATTAATTTATTAATTAACTGCGTTATTATTTTAAGGTTGTATATTTAAACATTTAAACCATTTATATTTTTATTTTATATTGCATAATTTTTATTTTTATTTTATTTATATCTGTTGCAAGAGAAAGATTTCGTAAAAATAGGACATTTTATACCAGTAGTAGCATGCAGGAAGACTACACTGCGCTGTGATTGGTGGCTAGATTCGCCCTCTGTGCTGCTCTCGCCAGAATTGGTTCCTGGAGTGCGGCGACGGTGTCTGGAAAGAAGAAGCAAACTATTTGCAAAACATTCATCTGCGCCCGTTCGTCGGAAGACGTCCTAATACTGATTGCAGACCTTAAGCGGTCGAGTATTATTTATTTGACAGTTATTTTTTCGGAAGGACGTCAGACGGGGAACGAGAGTAGACCCCCTGATACGAACCGTACGTAGTATCTAAACGCTATATATAAGTCTCTCAATAATATTGACCTCGGAATCGAACCGATCGGGTAGCCTCGAAATCACTAATCCTACTACATCTTTCTCACACTCACAAATCCTAGTATATCTTTCTAATTTGCGAGTTAAATCATCTATTGTTCTGATTTGAAATGTCAAAAGTTTCCGGTCAGCCAGTTGTGAATCGCAATTATGTGCCTCGACTCGGTAAAGACCCAATTTCAGATCGGGACATTTATCCAGTAACTTGGATCTTACTTGAGGAAGGAAATATCCAAATGCTTCTAAATTTCGGCTCCAAGATTAAAAGGAAATAGTAAAATAAAGAAGCAATAAGCAGATACTTACTTCAAATCTCTAAGCTCCTGTTTACTGCTTCTCAACTCAGACGAACTGCCTCTGTCCTCATTTCTATGCCTTCTTATATCCCCTTTACTACCTTTCAATGTCTTAGAGCTGCTGTGACTTCTCGATCTGTCATAAGGACTTATTGGGGGCTTCATTGCTTTTCTGTTTAATTGACTTTCTGTTTCTGAATTGCTATGTATCTCTGAAATGTTTTGTAGATTTCGTTTATAGTATTGCTTTGTTCTAGGTAATTCGCTTTTGTCTTTCAGATTGGTCAAAGAGTAGCTCTTGTTAGCGATATCATGGTCGACTTCGTCCAATCCTGTGCTTGAATTTGAGGTTGTTTTTCTCAAAGTATTATGAGATTTTGTTTGAGGATGGCTTCTGGACTTAGTGACAGTTTGCTTAACATTAGAGTCTGAGTCTTGGTCTGTATCTCCGAAGAAACGCAGATTTTTAGCTGGAGAATTGAGAGGTTTGGACGTTTTGGACCAGGTTTTTCGGGTGGACTCGTCTTCGGTCGTGAGGACGCTTTCTTTTTCGATCTGGAATGAAAGTTTTGTTGTTGAGCAAAAATTACTCCGTTCATAGATTGCTTAAGATTTTAATAATAGGTGTTTAACGGTGAAATGTTTATTCATGGTGTATTTTGATGCCGTAGGATGTCAATCAACAATCGGACTATAATCAGTACAGAGTACTAAAAGAGCCGATCTCAAAAGTTATTCATCCTCTAGTTTGCCACCCTTAGAGGAGGAATATTTTCTTCAAATTTAAATGAGACCACTTTTGGGGTACTCTCTTTGCAACAAAAAAGAATCATTAACATCGGTCCACAAATGCCAATGCAAGTTATCGCGTAACATACATACAAAAAAACGTACAGTCGAATTGAGAACCATCTTTTCTTTAGTCACTCACGACAACTTTAAAATTGAATTTATACCAATAAATTATATACTATATAAAATAGCTTACCTTAGTGTCTTTGGCTTTAGTCTTCTTCCTAGCCAGTCGATCGAGACTCTTAAACCAATTACCAGCAGTAGTCTGAGGAGGTGTTGTTCGAGGCGGTGGAGAAGGTGTTGGGCTCGGCGTGGCAAGGCGACGACGCTCACGGTAACGTTCAGCCTGGAAAAAAGAATAAAAAAAAATATATATTATAAACGCAGCAAGCTCATGGTAGAGGGACAGTACGGCCAGCTTCTGGAAGATCTGCCAAAATCTAGTTTAATCAATGTTTCACTGTTCAACATAGAATGTCATATGTTTTAGTCCATTCCTAATCAGCTAACCTTTTGAGGACCCGTTCTGCGTCGCGTCTTCGAGTATATATAGCTACTCTAAAAAACATATTAATGGCTGACCGATGGGAAAAATTTAAGTTACGGACTTTCCTAATCGATTCTGATCTGAGTGTTTTCGGTAGTCCCACGGTGTTATCACTACTCTGGTATAGTTAATAGGTACAATGAATTCCTCCGTTTGAGACCAGGCAACACTATTGTTATCGCAGCGCAGTGAGCCATTTATGTCTCAAAATTGCACAATCTCGAATTATTCTTCAACCAATATATACAAAATTAGAAACTAGCATAAAATACAATTTTGCACGTCATGACGAACAGGGGATTTATAAGTTTCAAGCCTTTGCCTGCGCATTTTTGTGTTTGTAGATCTGCAGCATCGTAGTTCCAAAACATGTCCGAGATTGCACCGTGCACCGAAGGCTATTCCGAAAACAGACTTCCACAACTGCTTCGGGATACGAAAGCACCGGTGGGAGCGTGTTCATTCGAATAGAAATACTTTCAAGGATGCCACGAGCCGGATTATGATTAATAGACCCTGTGCGGAATAACCCACGAAAGTCGGATACATTTGGGGCAGACCTTGTATTATCGAAATCCGGTGACATTACAATAATATGGTAACTTTGATCTGATGCTGCAAGTCTGCAGATCATCCCACACTAATTTATTGTAGAACTCTCGTGTGTCTCGACGTGTTGTTGGCATAGAGATGATGACTTTTCAGAGTACACGTTGATTTATATCGTGGTTTCCTGAATTCAAAATGTTTTATTACCTTCATTCTGGCTGGCCTTTTAATCGACAATTTCTTTAGATAAGGACATAAATATTCAAGTGTTAAATAGGACGTACATAACTCGTGTGAATTTTTTGTGCTCTTTAGGTTTTTTGCGTAATCGTACACCGACGGAAATGAGATACGTCATTAAACAACCTGCGGTTACACGTAACTGACGTCTGACAAGAACATTGGCGTGACTTAAATGGATCGTGAAGAGTGAACATTACCTGTATCTTTTGCGGTCAGAATTTTGGCAATATTGTTTTCGAGACAACTTTAAAAGGGTCAAGATTTTCAACTCGTTTTTTTCTTTCTTTTGTATGTTACGCCTTTACACCGACATGACAAATTAGGAAATCAATACTTTATAATTATTATATTATATAATTGAATTTTACCCACATGTAATTTCAATGAAAATAAAATATAACCTAGATCTGATATGACAGAAATGGCAGACAGTTGAGAGAATTCATCAACAGTGTACAAAAGTTGTGACCTTGTCTTTCGGCCCATAGGATTAATTTTGTCGAGTATTTTCATATGTGTCTTAGGAATTATCGTAGAGGAGACTACGGTAATGAGCTACCGAAAGCGGACAAACAAACTTTTGAGAATTGAAGAAAGGTTCCAGAGAATATATTAAAATAATAATTTCCTAAGTTTAAAACTTACTTTGCTTTTACTTACTTACTTTTTACAAAATTTAAGAGTATTTTTAAATAAAGAAGTGTGGAAAGTCAACAAGAGAAAAATTCGTTTTTTCTGAGTGTTCGATCTTTGTGTTAATAATCATAACAAACCAGTGGAGTAATTTCACAAAAATAATTGAATATCAATTCAATAAAAATTTAAAATACAGTGAATAGCGACATCTCTCGCCAGGGCTGGTAGCTGTAAAGGTATCTAACTGGGTGATAAAACTTTCATAGATTTCTCATAGATGGCGCTACGACTAAAAAGTCGTTGAAAAACCAAATACAAAAACACGACAACAAGCACATAGAAAAATTCGTGATGTCCGCTGGTTCGTTCCAAGACTTAGTTGGTATAGCGTCTGGCACGGTATGATAGAAGACGTCGGTTCGAATCTGGCCAGATCTTTCTGAGTGTTCGATCTTTGCATAAATAATTAATTTCAAATTTAGTTGGCGGACGGCAGAAATCCACAACACGCACGTTTAAATTAATAGTAATTCACAATAGAACTATACATATATAACTAACTATGACATACACAAATCATTGTAATACTAATAATAATACAATTTACTATCGGTCGTAATAGATTAATACTAATGTTATAAATAAAGTAATAATATTTTACACTAGAGACGTGCTTCCTTCCTTTTGTGACTTAAAAAATAAACCCTTAATTTGCGAAATCAAACACGATTGCGTGTCGCAATTGGGACATTTTGCCGTAACGCCATGTCCGAGACATCTATTTCTTCACTCACCTTTACAGCTACCAGCAGCTGACCAGAGATGTCGCTTTAATAATTGTAATTAATTACGGTAAACAATTTGTCAAAATTGTTTCGTAGAAAATTATACACTACGATAGCATTAAAATTTGCAGTTTAACAACTGATAGCTTGTGTGGCTGTGTGTACTTAAAGGCTGGTGTTAATGACCCACCAAGTTTACAAAGGTGGTACGTGATACGGTCACCTCTAAAAATAGCCGCCATGTTTACATATATTGCAAACATGTAGTTATAGTACAGCCTTTACAGAGCGCTTCATTAATTAGTAAGAAAGTTTTAAAAAGAATACTAACTACGTGAAACAAGCTAGTGACAGTAGGGCTCAGAGTGTCACTCAGAGCTTTAAATTGCAAAGATCTGAGTATCACTGTCACTTGCGCCCGTCACCCTGAGACATAAGTTGACAAGTCCCATGTGCCTGTAACTTCACCAGCACCCTTACCCTTCAAAACCGGAAAACAGTAATGCTAACATTACTGCTTGGCGGCAGAAATAGGTAAGGTGGCAGTAGTTCCCTGGATGAACTCTTTCTCAAGGAGCTCTACTGCTCCGAAACACTATTCATAAAAAAATAAACCCACAAGACATTATTTTTGTATGTTTTACTTTCCATCAATTACTTTTAATTTGGAATGTTCTTAAGTACCAAAATGGCATAACAATAATTTCAATAACCCAATATCACTTTTAATGTATTTACGGCGATTTTAAATCCACTAAAGCACACTACCGATCATAAGGTCACGTACCATATGGCGATCCGGCTAGCCTTGTGTCATCACGAGTATCAATGCAAGGCAGGACATTTACCGGTTTTTTGGCTTGACTCATACAGAGCATTTTTGGAACAGTGATAATAAATTTAGGGGAATACATGCCCGTAGGGGGTTCTTGGGTTTGATTGCTCACAGGGAGTCCACAGTCAGTCCTACGAATGAATGAATCAATCAATTGCGAACATTGACTTACAAATAAATGGACGACGGGTCTAATACAAAAACCACGAAAAAAATGTCCTAAGTCAACCTATTTAAACGTAGTGACATGTAAAGGAATATGAAAAAGCTAAAACGTTTAATTTAAATTGTAATGTCGCAGTACTGTCTAATTTTGCTTGCTTCGCTGTCAGTCGAACAAACGAAGACTAAAGCGTGAATGACGCTCTGTATACGATTTTAACGCCCTATAAGTTCGGACACTTTTTAGCGAGGACCCGACGTCCATATAATTGTAAGTCAATGATTGCGAACAAGACATTTTGCGAAATTGACGTTTTGCGTCCGGTAGACATTTTGCGAAGTGGACATTCTGCCCTGAGCCTTACCAATGAGTATTTTCAAATCATAAGCAGTATAGTTTAGTAATTAATAAATAATGAATGAGAATAAACCAATGCCAAACTGCCTCCGTGGCCTAATGGTTACCATGCGGGACTGCCACGCAGACGTCTCAGGTTCGATTTCCGGGCCGGGAGATATATTTGTATGGCCTAAACATTGGACGTACATTTCTCTCGTGAGTTTGGGTGTAATTTGTGGTTGTCTATATGTGTGTCCAGTCCATGGCAACTCAGGGTTTCCCTAGTGCGGGACTACGTTGAGTGTGTGTGTGCGTTATTATTATTATATTATTATTATTATTAATGCCATTAACGAGGGTTAAAACTAAAGTGAAATAAAAACTTAACACTAAAAGTTAGAAAAATAAGCCCTTTAAACTAGAACACATAAAAAATGAGCATCCAGAATTTTTTGGAAAAAGGGTAACTCAGGAGTGGTCCCATTTCAATTTTATGAAAATATTCCACCTCTAAGGGTGGCAAACTAGGGGATGAATGACTTTTGAGGTCGGTTTTTTTAGTTCTCTGTACTGTGATTATTATTTTATAAATGTATGTGTGTTGAGTTGTTTCTTTTCGTAATTCCTATTATTTATATATTAAATTGTAGCGGAATCCATTTTGGGTAGTGCATACTAAAAAGCAATTCTCACATTTACCAATATTAGTATAGCAACGGCACATCTTTTCCTATATCAGCAATTAGCATTGTCTATCTAATAGGCTTGTCACAGTTAACAATATTATTTGACCAAACAAGATTATGGTTCTTTGACCAACAGTTTTAGTCTGACGACCTCGATGACCCAGCGGATAGTTTTGTGGGCGCTAGATGAAAAAATCCCGGGTTCAATTCCCGGTTGGACCAATTTTGGAAACGTATTATTTATTGTTTCCGGTCTGGGTGTAACGTAGTACAGTTTGAGAGCAGTATTTGATGTTTTTAGTAGCAGTAGAGATTACCTTGCCTATTTCTGCCGCCAAGCAGTTGTAATGTGACCATTACTGCGTTTCGGTTTTGAAGGGTAAGGATGCTGGTGAAATATGTATTTACTTAAACAATTTCGACATGATCTTCGTCTTGTCCATGTTCAAAACCCACTCTTCGTGTTCAGGTCTCCCAAGGTCTCAGCCATAACAACTATATCATCGGCAAATCGAAGGTGTGTTAGATACTCGCTTGATGTTGATGCCAAGTTCTTTCCAGTC